CCTATTTTAAGGAATTTCTACCTTTTTATTTCTTGTACCTAAACCTCAAAAGTAATTTATGCAAAAAATTTTTTTTCAGACAGGCAGAAAGAGCCATTTGTGATGCACTGCTCACTTCCCAGATGGCTGCACCTTTGGACCTTGGCTGAGGTTGAAGGGGAGACCCTGGGGTCAACCACGTGTGTGGCAGGGGCCCAAGTACTTGGACCATCCTCTGCTTCTTTCCCAGGCACATTAGCAGGGAGCTCAATAGGAAGTGGAGTAACTAGGACTCAAACCAGCACTGATATAGAATGCCAGGGTACCAGCAGGTAGCTTTGACCTGCTAAACTGCAATGCCGATACCCCCCAAATGAAGTTTTGTGGCAGAGAGTATCTAGACCAACTGATATCTCTCCTAAACTTTCCTCAATTGTTCTTTTCCTTCAACAAGCCTAAGCCCTTTTCACGCTTTTTTCTCAGTATTACAATGGGCTTTTCCATGAAATCCTTTTGACTCTGAAGTTTCTTTTTTCTCCACTACTTCTCCCTGTAAATATTTCCTTGTTTAAAACAATCACATTTCACATAGTGCTGCTTTTTTTTTTTTTTTTTTTTTTTTTTTTACAATTTTTATAGCTAAGGGTCAGGCATTTGGTGCAGCGCTTAAGACCCAGCTCCCACCCCCAACACCTGCCTTTGCTTCTGATTCAGCTTCGAAATTACTGTTCATCCTGGGATGCAGCAGGGCAGTCAAGTCCTTGGGCCCTGCCACCTCCGCGGGAGACCCGGATGGAGTTCCTGGCTCCCTCCTGGCTGAACCGCGGAGAGGCATCCGAGGAGTGAACCAGCAGATGGAAGATCTCTGTCTCTCTCTGTACATCTGCCTTTCAAATAAAAATAAGCAAATCTGAAAGGGAAGGAAGGAAGGGAGAAAAAAGAGAGAGAGGAAGATTCTACAAGTCTCGTATCAGAGATCCCGACTTGCAGTTCTGCCTGCACCCCTTGATTTTAATCTACCTTCTCATGCACTCATGGAAAACAGGTAATGGCTCCAGAAGTTGGGTCCCTCCACCCATGGGGGACACCAGAATGGAATTACTGGCCCTACCTTACCCAGTTCTGCTTGTTGTAGCTTTTAGGGGAGTGAGCTAGCAGAGGTAAGATAGCTTTTGTTTTTGTTTTTGTTTTTTCTCCTGGCTTTTAAATAAAAACATCTTAACCAAAGTATTATAATCTTTCTGTTCCCAGGTTCCAGGTCTGGTTACCAATACTATGAGTTTAGGAATTACATATTAAGCAGTTTGGCCAAGGTAATTAAACAGGTTAGAAGATTATCAATAGCATGTTTGTAACACCTTAACATTGGCGATAAACACTATCCAGAAAGTCCTTGATCAACGCAGAGACCAAATGTGAAAGGTGGAAATGACTGACCTCATTGCCTTGAATCCCTTGAAAATGAAAACAGCCCTGTTGCACGGCCAGCTTCAGCCCGTGCACCTGACAGCATTGCCTACCCATGGACTGGGTTGCTCCCCAAAGCCCCAAGTGCACTCCGCTGGGTTTCCAGTTCCCCAAACATCCCAGCCTTTCCTTCACCTTGACATTTCATCCATGCCCATCGTTGGCCCATCATCCACCTGAAGCCTGTCCCTCACCCCAGCACCCAAGCGGTCCTCCCCGAGGCCTCCCCATCCCCCACCTTCTTACATCCTTCATCGCTTCCTCAGCGTCATCTAGACTGTCATCATCAGCTCCCACCTACCTTCCCGAGTGAAAAAGGGCAGGGAGATCAGGCCCAAGCATGGCTGAGGGTGTGTGTGGGGGGGGGCGGGGGGAAACTTCGAGAACATCCCCTGCTCTCTGCAGCCCACTGTACTAGGTGACCACTTTTACCTTCTCGGTGGGTGTCAGACGTACCCTCCCGCCCTCCACCCCGCGGCCTGCAGCTACAGTAAGCCTAAGTCCTGGCTGGAAGGCAAATAACCCGCACCTCCTAAGTTGAGGCCGAAGATGTGTACGCCTCTGTGCGTCCGTGAGGAGAACCTGAGCCGAGCCCCAGGTGAAGGGGCGGGGCGGTTGGCGGTAAGCCAATCATGGGTCCTGACGACAGGGTTCGGCCAATCAGAGCCAGGGAGGACCGGCGCGCTCGGCAGGGCCCGCCCCGTTGCAGCGCCGCGGCCAACGCCTCGGCCCCGGGCTCGGTGCAGCGGTGCCGGTGGCGGTCCCCGGGGGGCTGGCCGTGGGGTGCCCCTGCGTCCCAGCCCGCGTCAGCACAAGCCTCGGCCCTCAGAGGTGTCGCTGCCTCCGCCGCGGACGCCCCGGGCCCTGGGCCGCGTCGCTCTATGGCCGCGCACTGGGTGAGGTCGTTGCCTTGACGACAGCATGCGGCCGGCGGCCCTGGCGGGTGGGAGCTGGCGGCGGGCGGGCCGCCCGGGCCCCTCTGCCTCCCCCAGGAGCCGGGACTGCGTCCGAGGGAGAAACCAGGGCGGCGCAGGCACTGCTGGTTTGCAAGGCAGCGTCTTTTAAGAGCTGCGGACGAGATGCACGTCGCTTCCAGTTTGTTTCCAAGTTGAAAAAAAAAAAAAACCTTTGGGTCTTTCCATGCGAAAGGATTTGAAGAAACAGTAAGTGGAATACTTAAAAACCTGTCCATTTCCTTATTTTCTCTGTAGAACAGTTCAGTCTGTCTGAAACAAAGTGCTGTTCAGATGGGTAATGCCCCGTATTTTACTTAAATTGTTGGTATCAGAATCATATGCAGAGATGCCACATTGGCAAATGGCTGGCTGTGGTTGGGGGGAGGGGGTCGTTGGTATTTACCTTTCCTGTCAAGAAGACAGGAAAAGTTCAAGTTCAGGAGTAACTGTTGCGGGGTCGGTCGTCCTTCTAAGGTATTGGTGGGCAGTGCCGCTTGGGAAGGCAGGTGTGCAAATGTGCCGTGGGTGCGGCGGACGGCTTTGGAATTGCCAGCTGCATGATGCGTCTCGGAACACCCGAGCCATGCCTTAAGGTTGATTTCTTTTACTCTGTCCAATTTTCATGTTCAAATTCTGAGAACATATCAGTTCTGAAATGGTTTAAGAGGATTCCAGCTATGTTTAGCATTCGTGTGACCAAATCTCACCTTTAGTTGAACACTAACGGAAGGGGGGAAATTATGGGAGGCAAGGAGGGAATTATACTGGGAATCTTTCATTTTTCCCAAATGCAAACATTTATTTTAAAAAAATAGTAGGATATTAAATGGAAGGTAAGATGTCATTGTGGCTGGCGAGCGTTTGGCGTACTGGTGTTAAGGAGTTCACAGTAGACTCCACAATCACACTTGGCAGTAAAATCATCCGATGAGCTGCTGTTGAGTGGGGTTGTTTCCATTCTGCAAAGATCAGGCCCCTGCTCCTCCATTTTGAAAATATATGTTTAATAAAATGTCAAAGATTAAAAATCTAGACTTTGGATGGCCGCATTTGTTTGTTTGTTTGTTTTTTATGCAGAGACAATATTTGCTTTGTCTTAGCCATCAGTGTACCCAGAGAAACAAGGAAAAACATCCCCCACTGTTTTTAGTCAGGATATGGCCATCAGCTGGAAGTGGATCAGCCAGGACTCGAACCAGCTTCCTTAGGGGATGCTGGCATTGCAGACAGAGGCTTAGCTTACTCCGACACTGAGCAGCCCCATTTATTTGTTTATTTTTAAAGATTTTATTTTATGCATTTGAAAGTCTAACAGAAGGGGAGAGACAGAGAAAGAGAGCTTTCAGTCTCTGATTTACTTGCTGAATGACTGCAGCGACTGATGCTGTGCCAGGCAGAAGCCAGCAGCCCAGACCTCCATCTGCTTCTGGCATTTGGGTGGCAAGAACCTCAGTCCTTGGGCCAAGTGTCTGAGCAGGGAGCTGCTTCCCAAGTCAGGCGGCTAAGACTCGAACTGGCTCTCTGCTTTTGGGGTGCTGTTGTCACAAGCAAAAGCTTAACTCACTGTGTTGCAACGCCAGCTCCCAAATAGGATTTCTTCTTCTTCTTCTTTTTTTTTTCTAAAGATTTTTATTGGAAAGGCAGCTATACAGAGAGGAGGAGAGACAGAGAGGAAGATCTTCCATCCGATGATTCACTCCCAAGCAGCCACAGTGGCCGGAGCTGAGCCAATCTGAAGCCAGGACAGGTTCAAGGTCCCAAAGACTTTAGCTATCCTTTACTGCTTTCCCAGGCCACAAGTAGGGAACTGGATGGGAAGTGGAGCTGCAAGGACTTTAACAGCAGCAAGGACTTTAACCGCTACGCTATCATGCCAGGCGCCCAAATATGATTTTAATGCTTTCCCAAGAATATTGGGAGAAGCTGGCACCACAAAAATGACCCCAGTAATTTCCAGTTCTGTCTCCTGGCATTGGCTCCAGCCAGGAATAGCTGTGAGGGTTTGGGGATGGGAAATGTTCTATCCCTGTGTATTAAACGTAAATTGTAAAATTAATACGGTCAGTCATTTGAATTGCATTTGTCTTGTCCTTTATGAAATACGTGTGAATATTTTGAAAATATAGGTGGTGAGTTAGTAAGAAATTATATTGGCCCAGGACCACCAGGAGCTCAGTGAAAATGGGAAATATATAGATAAGACTTAATTGGCTGGGCAGTAGAGGAAATTAATATATCAGGGACTGGCAAGATGGCTCGACTGACTAATGCAAACGCCAGCATCCCTTTTGGGTGCTGGTTCTTGTCCCTGCTGCTCCGCTTCCCACCCAGCTCCCTGGTTGTGGCCTGGGAAAGCAGTGGAAGATGGCTCAAGTCCTTGGGCTCCTGCACCCATAAGGGAGGCCCGGAAGAAGCTCCTGGCTTCAGATCAGCTCAGCTTGAGCTGTTGTGATCATTTGGGGAGTGAAACAGAGCATGGAAGATCTCTCTCTGACTCTCCTTCTCTCTTTAAATCTGTCTTTCCAATGAAGAAAAAAATAAAAAAGAAATTACTATATCAGACATTGATGACTCTGTCTTTTGATTCCCAACAGGAAGAAAAATCCCTACTAATTTTAAATTAAAATGGAAAAATATGAGAACCTCGGATTGGTTGGAGAAGGAAGTTATGGGATGGTGATGAAGTGTAGGAATAAAGATAGCGGAAGAATTGTGGCCATAAAGAAGTTCCTAGAAAGCGATGATGACAAGATGGTTAAAAAAATTGCTATGCGAGAAATCAAGTTACTAAAGGTGGGTCAATGCCTAAACCTAATTGAAAAAATCTGAAATGTTCCTTGATGAAGTTTACGTTATGATCGTTGGAAAATAGTACTGTGTTTTAAATATTTGTTTTATTTTCATAATCAGGCTTAAAGTAAAATTCTTTTGACACTAATAAGAAATAAAATGAAGAGACAGATTGATTTATCATGTGGATATAAACATTTTATGTTTTCATGATTTTTTTGTTTGGAAGGCAGAGTGATGGAGAGAGATCGTCCCTCTTCACTGCTCCTTCACACCCCGAATGGCCAGTAGCCAGGGTGGGGCCAGGCAGAGGCCAGGAGCCAGGAACTCCATCCTGGTCTCATGCAGGTGCAGGTGCCGAGTACTTGGGCTGTCTTCCTCTGCTTTCCCAACACATTAGAAAGGAACTAGTTGGAAAGTCAACCTAAACAGTTTAGCTCACTATGCCATAACACTAATCCTTAAACATGATTTTCAAAGTGTTTGTTTCTTCTCTCTGTGAATGTCCGCTTACTGGATCAATCACCTGTGGAGGTCTTAACGATGCCTCCCCCTTCCTATCCCTCTGCCCTGCTGTGGCCTGGACTCACCAGCAGAACCCACTGACTTCGGTGTGTCAGGTGCTCAGGGGATCGATAGGACAGTAAAAGCGTGTGAGCCAAGGGAGAAGGCGCCAGCGTCCCAGAGTCCTCTTGGGGGAAGACACACAGCATGTGCTTCTTTTCTGCAGTGATGAATTTTGACTAAGTCTGTGAGACGGTCACAAAGGCTCTCTCTGGTTCCTGCTAGTGACCCAGTTGCACGGAAGGAGGGCGTGCATTCAGCCCAAGACGCATGGCTCGCACCATGGGCCCTGGTCAGTTCTGAGAATGGAGGGATGGGAGCCTTGCTGAAATCTAAGTGACCACAGACTAGCCAGTGCCCGCTTTGCCAGCAGACCTGTGCAAGGACAGGAGTCTCAGGTGTGCCAGGTTCAGTTTTTTACTTTATGGTCTCACTGGAAACTTATCAGTGTTCTTATCAGCCTTTCTACCTCATATATATGTTTAAGGATATATTTCTCAAGACACCATGATAAATATTGCAGAAATTTTGATTATTTAAAATATGTTGTCTTTTCCTCTATGATTTAATAATTATTTAATTATTTGACAATTATTTAATAATATATGTCATAATCTTCACACAGTTTTCAGGTCGTTCTCTGGTTATTTGTGATACAGTTGCCATGTGACTTGAGTAAACACCACTGAACGATTTCTTCCTTCGAAGTTTCCTGGTGTATGCTTTGAAGTTCAGAATATTGTCAGCTAAAAAAGAAAAGAATGGAGCCTGGTGTAATCCCTTGATCGTGTTCTGTAGATGACTGTAGGTAGGGCGAGTGGCAGCCAGTTCCTTTCTATGTTTTCCATCATGTGTCAACTTTTTTTCTTTCCAAGGAGACTGAGTTCTACATTGATGTGATTGGGTTCTCCTCCCTGATGCTCTGGGGCCCTTCCTAGTCGCTGTGTCTGCCATCAGAGTGACAGGGCCATTTTCTGGGATGACATCAGTCTGATAGCTGAGAAAGATCTTCACTCTTAGCGATGGCAAAGGGCTCTGTGAATTCTCAGAAACTGAGCAAACTCGCAGAGCCAGTACCTAGGTCGGGAAGCATGATGTGAAAATCACCTGCGAACCCCCACTCGTCCCTGCCACTTCTCTCAGTCTGGGGAACAGGTGTCATGATTCTACACAGCAAAAAATACTTTCATTTTCTATTCTGATTACTTATATTGCCCTTCAGATTTGTTTTTCTGTAGTTTCACTGTAATTTAGCATATATGTGTTTTGATTATTCCTGCTTAAAATTCACTGGATCATCATGAATATATGCTATGATTTTCTTTCTTAATTTTGGAAAATTATTTTTTTCTTTTAAAGGGCCCTTTCTCTTTCTCTGGTATTTTTGCGACTCCACGTGCTATACATTAAAAGTTCTCTATATGTCTCACCTGTTTTTCTTTCATTTTTTTCCTGTGCATACTCTTCTGCATAGTTTATCTGACTTGCCATCTAGTTCACTAATTCCTCATTAATTAATTTCCATCTGTGAGCTGTTCATTTTGGACGTGTAAAAAAATTCAAATCATGAAATACAACCCACAAATAGACAGTAAGTGTAGCTCAGTGGACTATCGCAAATGTTCATGGAATCACAGAAAGAGCGTGTCACTAGCAGACCTTCCCCTGTGCCCACCCTGTCACCAGCCCACCCCTCTCCTGCAAGGGAAACGCTCTCCTAACTTGGTGTTCGTTACTGTCCTGGACTTTCCCCCCTTCTACATACCAGTGAATTATGCATTTCTATCCAGTGTAGTCTATTTTCATTCCTTTAAAACAAACACCTTAAACAGACTTAAAGAAAAAGGTGCAAAACACGGATTACAGAAAAATAAATAATATGTGCTACTGCACAGGCCAAGACAGCAGCAGCTCACCTCAGAAGCCCACTCAAGCCTTTCTGAGGCCCCCGAGTCAGTGTCAGTGGACCGTCTCTCTTCCCTCCACTAACATAAGGACTGCAAGGAGCAGCTGTCCTCTTCCACCCTTCATCCCCACTGCAGACCCGTCTCTCACCCCTCCTGCCCTCCCGGGCCCTCTCCTGTCCTTACCAGAGGCCCACATGGCTCTGTAGTCCCCAACCCACACTTCTGTAAAGAAAATAAGCAAATAAATAACTTTTAAAAATACTTAGAATTGATACCTGTCTCTGGCTACTGTTTCTGGTTTCCTGGTAAATGAGGACTCTGGGAGGAATGACCGTGGCATACTAGTTGTTTCTCGCTCCAGGCATTTGGAACATGGACCAGGGAATGGGAATGCTGACTTTCTCTGTCTTGCTCAGCCTCTCCAATGAATAAGGGAAAAACCAAACAACTCCACTGAAGACTTCTCAGTTCTGGCTGCTGACTGACACAGGTGCGCTGTCAGCCCAGAACCTCCGGAAGCCAAAAGATCTTGCTTCTGATGTCTTGTTTTCCTGCATTTCTCATTATTATTATTTTTTTAATTGAATGCTGTTTTTGTAAATATATTTATGGAAATATTTTGATTCTAAGATACAGCTATATTCCTCTAGAGGTGATATCCATTTGCTTCTCCTTGTTTATTTTGACTCATCTGTGCTCTAGAGGACATAGAGAGAGGAGACAGGCACACAGAGATTGTCTATCTGCCGATTCCTTTTCCAAATGGCCACAACGGCCAAGCTTGGATCAGACCAAAGCCAGGAGCCAGAAGTTCTCTTTGGGTATCCAATATGGGTGTAGGGGCCCATGGACTTGAACCATCCCAGCTGAGGGATGCTGGCGGTTGCTTATACCCCATTATGCCCAATACTTGCCCATAGAAGGTGTAGTTCTTAGGAACTAGCTCAATTTTTGGGCTGGTTTTTCAGATATCTAAGCCTTAGCGGGGTTTGTAATTTGAAACTTTTCTGCTTTAACACTTGGGGGACCTTGAAAATCAAAGCTGAGTTTCATGTCTGGAACATCAAAGCAAATTCTTGAGCTTAGCTGTCTGGATTCTCATGTTTCTAATTTTGGCCTAGTAATTCTTATTTTATCAGTCTTTTTGATGCTTAAGATGGTAAAAGAAAATATCAATCCAACTTCTGGGGCTGACCTAGTGTGCAGTGGGTTAAATTACCCCCTGCGACCTGGCATCTCATGAGTGCCTGTTAGAGTTGTGATTGAAGTCCCTGCTAAGGAATCTGGGAAAGGAGTGCAAGATGGCCCAAGTATAAGGACCCCTGCTACCCGCGTGGGAGACCCAGGAGGAGTGGCAGTCTCCTGGCTTCTGCCTGCCCCAGTTGTTGCCACCATTTGAGGCGTGAACCAGTGGATGGAAGATATCCATTTCTCTCTCTCTTTTCTTTGTAACTGCCCTTCAAATAAATGATCTTAAAAAAAATTAACGATTTTCAGTAGGAAGGTAGGTTAGCATTACTTTGTCTGCTACAACCAAAGGAGTTACTCATCTGCTTTTTGAAGATGTAAGCACCGGGACAGATGTTGAGCCTCATGCTCACGATGCTGGTTAAGATGCAGGAGTCCCACATCTGAGTCCCTGAGATTGTTCCTACCTCCAGTGTACTGCTGCTCTAGACTCCTAGAGGGCAGCAGGGATCGCTAGCGTTCTCCGCTTCCTGCCACCATGGTGAGACCTTGGGGGAGTTCTCTTCAGCCTCCTGTGGTCTGAGCTTGGCTGTTACTGGCCTTTGGGAGAGAACTGGTTCTCTTAAATAAAGAAATGAATTAAATAATTTAAAAACATAAGCACATGGGTGAGACACGTGGAGCTGTTTTTGAATAATGCCTGCAGTGTTTCTGCTACTGCAGTAAGCTTGGCAAGGACTTTACATACAATACGGAAAAATAGATTTTCTGATACTGTAGTCTGAATTCTTAACAGGAATAAAGAGATTTTATCTTATTAGAAACGTATCAAGGGGGCCCAGCGCAGTGGCCTAGCGGCTAAAGTCCTTGCCTTGAATGTGCTAGGATCCCATATAGGCGCTGGTTCTAATCCTGGCAGCCCCACTTCCCATTCAGCTCCCTGCTTGTGGCCTGGGAAAGCAGTTGAGGATGGTTCAAAGCCTTGAGACCCTGCACCTGCGTGGGAGACCTGAAAGAAGTTCCTGGCTCCTGGCTTCAGATTGGCGCAGCCCCAGCAGTTGCAGTTACTTGGGGGAGTGAATCATTGGATAGAAGATCTTCCTCTCTGTCGCTCCTCCTCTCTTTGTATCTGACTTTGCAATAAAAATAAAATAATTCTTTAAAAAAATGTGGCAAGGGTTTAGTGTGATGGCTCAATGGTTAAATGTTCCCCTTGCAAGCGCGGGGACATTGAACATATGGACATTAGTTCTAATCCCAGCAGCCCCACTTCCCATCCTGCCCTTCTGCTTATGTCCTGGGAAAGCAGTTGAGGATGGCCCAAAGCCTTGGGACTCTGCACCCACGTGGGAGATCTAGAAGAAGCTCCTGGCTTCTGATTGGCTTAGCTCTGGCTGTCACAGCCACTTGGGGAGTGAATCAGTGGACAGAAGATTTTCCTCTCTGTCTTCTAAATCTGATCTTCCTTTCCAATAAAAATAAGTACATCTTAAAAAAAAGATATGTCAAAAACAGTTCACAGTTAAATAACTGAGCTTCTGTTGCATTGGCATTTATTTTCAGTTGCCTGATAGATTATCAGAAGTTACTTCTATTTGTTAAATGGAATTGTTTTATTAATGAGCTTTATGATTTATTATTTGTAGCTGCTCCTATAATATATTTTAGCCTAGCCTTTCTATGTGAAGATTTTAACTTTAAAAAATTTCTTTTGAAATGGGAAACACTACACTTGTGTATCTCTTAGAAAAACAGATACATTGGGGCTAGTTGTAGTAGTCAAAGCCTCTACCTGTGATCTCACTTCGCGTGGTTACTGGTTCGAGTCCTGGCTGCTCCACTTTCAATCCACCTCCCTGTCAGTGCACCTGGGAAAGCAGCAGAAAATGGCCCAAGTCCTTCGGCTCTTAGAAGAAGTTCCAGGGTTCTGACTTCGGACTGGCCTAGATCTAACTGTTAACAATCGTTTGGGGAATAAACCAGAAGCTGAAAGATCTTTCTGTTCCCCAACCCAACTCCCAATATATCTGCCTTTCAAATAAAATTAGTAATATTTTCAGGAGCCAACATTATGGCATAGCTGACTGAGCCTCTGCCTGTTACTATAGCATCCTGTATGGGCATTGATTTGAGACCTGGTGGCTCCACTTCTGATCCAGCTCTCTGATAATGCCCCTGGGAGAACAGTGAAAGATGGTTCAAGTGCTTGGACCCTAAGAAACTGGCTTTAGCCTGGCCCCATCCTGGCCGCAGCCATGCTTGGGGAGAAAACCAACAAATGGAAGATTCTCTCAGTTTCTCCTACTCTGTCTATAAATCTACATTTAAAATTTTTAAAAAAATTTAAACAAAAAAATATAGTTTCTTTAAAAAGAAAAAAAACAGAAAGGTTTGTGTGTCCTTCGTGATGACTCAATTGACCTCCAAGCTGTGGGATCTCATACGTGTGCTGGTTTGTGTCCCCAACTGCTCCATTTCCCATCCAGTTACTTGCTTGTGCACTGGGAAAGTAGTACAGGATGGCCCAAAGCCTTGGGACTCTGAGCCCATGTGGGAGACCTGGAAGAGGTTCCTGGCCTTGAATTGGCTCAGCTCCGGCCCCTGCGGACATGTGGGATGCTGGTTCCACGGGTAGAGGAATAGCTGCTGCGCCTCTGCGCTGGCATGTGTGCTTCTGTGCTCTCATTCATTCCTGCTGTTCCTTGGTTTTGGAGATGTTCTGAGCAGTGGCCTTTGGCCCCATTTCTGTCACAGTGCTGACAGATGGACCTTTCTTTTGGGGTACTTCCCCAGCTTTGGAGAATGCCCTCCTTGCTGCCTTTGTAACCATGGTGACCTCCGGAGGCCTGTCCATGCCCTGTTTATTGGTCTCATCCCCTTTGTAATAGTAGTGGTCAGAGGGCCTTCCCCGTTCCATTCCTCACTGCCTTTGCTGTGTTCTCTGAGAGAAGAAAGGGGCAGTATGATCTTGTGCTTGTAATGCAAAAACCAAAGTATGCTTTTATAATTGTTTATATATTTTTTATCTTTCTTTTATATAAAAATATGTTTTAGATTGTGATCAATGACTAATAATTTTCTCTTCTAAAGCTATTTTGCATTTCTTTTTAAAATAACAGCAACTGAGGCATGAAAATTTGGTGAATCTTTTGGAGGTGTGTAAGAAAAAAAAACGGTGGTATCTAGTCTTTGAATTTGTTGACCACACGATTCTTGATGACTTGGAACTCTTTCCAAATGGACTAGACGACCAAGTAGTTCAGAAGTATTTGTTTCAGATTATTAATGGAATTGGATTTTGTCACAGTCACAACGTAAGTATTGGTTTTAAATAGTTGTGTTGCCAATTGTTGACTAGCAGATACTGGTGGCTTTTTCTGTTGAGACACTTGCTTAGAATATGAATCAGTAAAATAATGAGAGTTAACTTTGCTGTTTTGATATCAGTAACGTTCATGCGTCGTAGTAGATGCGTTCCTACTGCCCTCACCCAGCATTTTATTGTGGAATTTTTAGGCCATACTGAACAGTTGAAAGGATACATAATGAGTCAGCTCATGTCTGTATACCTGCTATCTAGATTCTATGCTTATTAACTACTATATTTGTTTTATCATAATTAGTCTACTATTAACCTATAATTATTCAATTACAATTTTTAAAAAAGTTACAGTCATGAGTAAATTTAAACACTAAGTATTTCTTCAGTGTCATTCACTAGAGTTAACTCTTGTTTTCGTTCTTGTGTTCGCTTGTTGTTTGGTTTTCTTGAGAGCAGCAGATCTGCCTGTGATGTTACTGAGTCAGGTACCCGTGGCACCAGTTCAGGTGCCTCCCAACATGCCTGTCTCCCTGATGAGCATGCATTCATCTCAACACCAAGGGCAGAACTGCCGATGGAGGCAGTAGACAAAACCAACGAACAAACAAATCCCTTTGATTTGCTGGGATTTGAAGAGTATTTGCATGTGTCCGGCCTGCGTCTGCTCCCGTACGCCTTTGTATTCGATAATGCATCCCACCTTTAGACGCTGTGGCAGCCACACACCGCGGCGTCGAGTGCTGCTGTCGGAATGCAGTTCTGTCTGTACCCGGTAGTTCCATGCAGAGCTCCTGTGTTTGTCATTAAGTCGTACACGCCGTGGCTGTAGTGCGGAGCACGGGCAGATCTTAGGATCCGGGTACCTCAGGGGAGCGCCCCTGTTGCCTCTCCCGCTACTGTCTTTGCAGGCCAGGTGCTCTAGAATGCGATTCCTTGCCATCTTTTCCCTCAGGCCTCTAGGGCGTCTCCAGTTCTTCCATCCCCCTGTTCAACGGTGGTGACAATAGCAACTAGGGCCACGTAGGGCCACAGCAAAGATCAAGTGGGTTCCGACATAAAGAATAGTGTTCATGTGTAAGTGTTCAAATGTTTGCCATGTTGCTAATATTAATGAAACAGATCCTAAGGTCTTGTTTTTCAGTCAGTTATTTCTATTTTTCTTAAAAAAAAAAAAAAAAGAGGGCCCGGCGCGGTGGCGCAAGTGGTTAAGGTCCTCGCCTAGCATGCCCGGGATCCCATATGGGCGCCGGTTCTAATCCCGGCAGCCCCGCTTCCCTTCCAGCTCCCTGCCTGTGGCCCAGGAAAGCAGTCGAGGACGGCCCAAAGCTTTGGGACCCTGCACCCACGTGGGAGACCCGGAAGAGGCTCCTGGCTTCGGATCGGCATAGTGTCGGCCCGTTGCGCTCACTTGGGGAGTGAATCATCGGACGGAAGATCTTCCTCTCTGTCTCTCCTCTCTGTATATCCGCCTTTCCAATGAAAAAATAATAAAAATAAATCTTTAAAAAAAAAAAAAAAAGATTTGGGCCCGGCGTGGTAGTCTAGTAGCTAAGGTCCTCACCTTGCGCGTGCCGGGATCTCATATGAGTGCAGGTTCTAATCCCGGCAGCCCCACATCCCATCCAGCTCCTTGATGATAGCTGAATTTCTTAGTTTTGAAAGTAGTTATTTATCAAATAATTGCTTGGTAATAAATTATAAAATGTCTCTCCGAGAATGTGCAGAGGTCATATGCAAGCGTGCTATTTTTAAAAAGCAATTTTTTGTTGATGTTCACATAAGTGAAATGGATGTACATGCCCATGTGTGCGTTGATTAGGGTAGAAATGATGAAGGAATAGGGGAAGGTGGATCAGATAACTGCTTCCATGTTTTTTTCTTCCTACATCCAGGGGAGGGGGGAGAGGGTTGCTCCCAGCAGCCATGCTATTTTATTTTTACCAGGAATTTGAGTATCTGAGGTTTCAGAATCCATAGGCGGTCTTGGAACTGATCCCCAGAGGATGCCAAAGGACAACTCTATAGAGGTGTATATGGATTTAGACACAGGTAGATTTTCATCTCCTATATCTAACTGTTTAAGCAAAATTTTAAGCACGAGTGTTCTTTCTTGCCCAGCTATGTCCTAGGTTACTCAAAGCTGGGGACAGTTTTATGTGCTTTGCTCTTTTCAGGAACAGAAAACTGCCCTGTCGGTGGCAAAGGCTAAAAGTAATGAATGCTGATGAAGCTGTGTGTTGTCTTCTGCCGTTTGTCTTAGATCATACACAGAGATATAAAGCCGGAGAACATATTGGTCTCGCAGTCTGGCGTCGTCAAGTTGTGTGATTTTGGATTTGCCCGGACCCTTGCGGCCCCGGGGGAGGTTTACACCGACTACGTGGCGACGCGGTGGTACAGAGCTCCGGAGCTCCTGGTCGGTGATGTCAAGTACGGCAAGTAAGACCCCGCAGCCTTGGGATGAGGTGGCCGTCTGCGCGTGGCGGCATCAGTGGGCCCTTTAACTCTGACAGCGAAGTTTGCGTTTGGGGGATTTTATTAACAGACTTGTAGCCGTTTTCAGTGTTTCTTCTTTTAACTTTCTTATGAAACCAGTTAGGAGCAGCACACTTATTTTAAAAGTGGGGAAATTAAGTAGGTGATACTGGAAATTGATATCTTTAAGCTCGTGTAGAAAGCTTAACGTTGATGGAAAAAGGCTGACCCTGTTGGAGGGAGGCAGGGTTAAGTAGGCAAGGTTAGAAATGTTTTAAAAACACAGGTTGTCTTCGTAAATGAATTCAGAGGAAAATGGATTAGAATTTAAAATACTGATAAAAATATTTCTAGGGCCCGGCGCGGTGGCGCAAGTGGTTAAGTCCTCACCTTGCACGCCCTGGGATCCCATATGGCCGCCGGTTCTAATCCCGGCAGCCCCGCTTCCCTTCCAGCTCCCTGCCTGTGGCCTGGGAAAGCAGTCGAGGACGGCCCAAAGCTTTGGGAACCTGCACCCACGTGGGAGACCCGGAAGAGGCTCCTGGCTTCGGATCGGCATAGCATCGGCCGTTGCGCCCACTTGGGGAGTGAATCATCGGACGGAAGATCTTCCTCTCTGTCTCTCCTCTCTGTATATCTGCCTTTCCAATAAAATATAATAAAAATAAATCTTTAAAAAAAATTTCTAGAATATTTTGTAATATTTCTAAAATTAAGTAATTGTGTTTCCAGAGTACAGTAAGTATTATTTACTATTTCCTTGACTTTTTTCTTAGTGCTAACTTTTTTTTTTTAAGATTTTATTTATTTTTGTTACAAAGTCAGATATACAGAGAGGAGGAGAGGCAGAGAAGAAGATCATCCGTCTGATGATTCACTCCCCAAGTGACCACAACGGCCGGTGCTATGCCAATCTGAAGCCAGGAGCCAGGAGCTTCTTCTGGGTATCCCACATGGGTGCAGGGTCCCAAGACTTTGGGCCCTCCTCAACTGCTTTCCCAGGCCACAAGCAGGGAGCTGGATCGGAAGTGGAGCTGCTGGGACTAGAACTGGCGTCCATATGGGATCCTGGCACGTTCAAGGCGAGGTCTTTAGCCGCTAAGCCACGCCATCAGGCCCAGTCATAACTTATTAACCAGGCTATAATTTTTGTAACATTTTATAATCCACCTTTTATTTTATTAATTTTATTGGAAAGTCAGATACGTATATATATAGGCAGAAAGACAGAGAGACTTTCCATCTGTTGATTCACTCCACTAGCAGCTGTAATGACCGAAGCTGGGCTGATCCTAAGCCAGGAGCCTGGAGACTCTTCCAGGTCTCCCACGCAGGTAGAGGGTCCCAAGCCTTTGGGCTGTCCTTGACTGTTTTCCCAGGCCACAAGCAGGGAGCTGGATGGGAAATCGGGCTGCTGGGATATGAACTGGTGCCTAAATGGGATCCTGGTGCATGCAAGGTGAGGACTTTAGTTGCTAGGTTACCGCACCAGGCCCTATAATTCACCTTTTAAGGAGGTTTTCTTTAGAAATGACATTATATTTTTTCTTTGGGTTCTTGTTATTGCTTTTTAGAGAATGGTCAGATTTTACCCCTGTTAGCTTTTGGATTTTGTTATGATTCTAGCTGTCCTCAGCAATCACCTGCTTTTTCTAATTTGCTTTTCTCAGTGTGTCTTCGAATACACTGATCCTTGCTCAGACTGTGTGTAACAAAAGGTGTGCAGCAGATGCCTGCGATTCTGACTCCCGAATAAAATACGTGTAAAAGTCATCTTGGCTTTTCAAAACCCGTTTTCTTATTCTAGCACATGATCACAATTTTTAGAAAGCTGACTTTTGTGAAACTGAAATTAGAACTTTTAACTTACCGGGAAATGTCTTTGATCGGTAAGTTAGGGCGTCGTATTCCTATTCTCAGGACCCCAAATATCCAACAGCAGCATGCAGAACAAATGTACTCGTTGTAAATGGATTAGGGTGCCAGATTTGCTCCCTCATTGCTTTTCTTTCAGAGCTGTGGACGTGTGGGCCATCGGTTGTCTGGTTACTGAAATGCTCATGGGGGAACCCTTGTTTCCTGGAGATTCTGATATTGATCAGCTTTATCTTATCATGTTGTGTTTAGGTAAGATTGTATACTTGCACTTTAAATTTCAGGTGTGATCTTCCTTTGTATTGATATTTTAATCCATTCGTATGTTGACGGTGATACATGTTGTAAGTATGTCAGGATGTTTTAAGTATGATATGGAAGAAAATAGGAAGCACCTACTATTAGTATATATACACATATTCTTTTTGACCAAGATATAGAAAGAAAGATAAGGAGATCTTCCATCTGCTGATTTACTCCCCAAATGCCCACAAAAATTGGGCTGGGCTGTGCAGAAGCCAGGAACCAGGAACTTAATTCTGGTCTCTTACGTGGGTGTCAGGGACCCAGGTCCTTGGGCTGTCTCCATTGCTGTCCCAGGCACACTGACACAGAGCTGAGTCAGAAGCAAAACAGCAGGAACTTGGACTTGCACTTAGCTGTAGGACACCAGCATCTCAGATTGTGGCTTATCCCGCTACACCATGATGCACCACCTGTAAGATGTGCTCTTTTTTCTTTCTTTCTTAAAGATTTATTTTATTTTATTGGAAAGTCAGATATACAGAGAAGAGGAGGGGCAGAGAGGCAGAGAGGAAGATCTTCCTTTTGGCCACAATGGCCTGAGCTGTAATGATCCAAAGCCAGGAGCCTGGAGCCTCTTCTGGGTCTCCCATGTGAGTGCAGGGTCCCAAGGTTTTGGGCCATCCTCAACTGCATTTACAGGCTACAAGCAGGGAACTGGATGGGAAGTGGGGCCACTGGGATTAGAACCAGTGCCCATATGGGATCCCTGTTCATATAAATTGAGGACTTTAGCCTCTAGGCCACTGCGCTGGGCCCAAGATGTGTTCTTATACTCACCTCCCTTACCCAATCAGTAGAGAGGAAAATTGCAGAGAGGGGGATGGGCATTGTAGGCAGGGATGTTAAGTTGCTGCCTGGAATGCCTGTTGGAATTCCTTCTGATAGCTGAGTGCTAGTCCTGGTTATTCCATGCTTTCCACTCGGCTGGGAGGCAGCAAATGATGGCTCTGGTGGTTGGTACCCTGCTACCCGTGTGGGAGACTCAGGTGGAGATCCTGACGTGGCGTCGCCTCATTGTGCTAGCTGAGGAACGAACCTGTAGATGCTGCAGGTCCTTCTGTGTCTCTCTCTAGCAAATAAAATAAATACTTTTTATCTTTAAAGGCACATATTATGAATTTCTCTGCACTTTAAATTTTAGTTAATCACATGAGAGTACGAAAATACTCATGTTTTTGAGTCAGTAAACCATTTGGTCTAGTACGTGACTGTTAGCCTTCGAGATGAGAGACAGACCGTGGCAGTGCTTAATCCCATCCCAAATCTGATTTTTGCCATGAGTGCTTTGTGTAGAATTTCTTTTTTTAAAAGATGTATTTTATTTTTATCACAAAGTCAGATATACAGAGAGGAGGAGATATAGAGAGGAAGATCTTCCATCCGATGATTCACTCCCCAAGTGATTGCAATGGCTGGTGTTATGCCAATCCGGAGCCAGGAGCCAGCAACTTCCTCCAGGTCTCCCACACGGGTGCAGGGTCCCAAAGCTTTGGGCCGTCCTCGACTGCTTTCCCAGGCCACAGGCAGGGAGCTGCCAGGATTAGAACCGGCGCCAATATGGGATCCTGGTGTGTTCAAAGCGAGGACTTTAGCCGCTAGGCCATGCTGCCAGGCCCTATAGAATTTCAAAACTAGACTGGCAAGGTCTTAAACTTGTTGAAAGTCGGCTTCATGTTCATAGATAGAATTTGGAAGATAGAAACAACGGGAAAGCATTTAGGTTTAGTTAACTATTGGATTTTAGGATTCCAGGTTAGGTTGTTTTCTCATAATAAAATTTTCATATGTAAAGCACTGATTAAAGTTGAGAGAAAAAAAAAAGATAAAATGCTCAAATCTGATCTCAGATCAAGATAGAAAATCAGTTGATCATAAATTAAATCCTTTAAAATTTGTTTTGTTTTCATTTTAGTTCAAAGCCAGAGAAAGGACACACACACACACACACACACACACACACACACGAGCGAGAGCTTCATTCCATGGTTCACTCCCCAAATGCCTGCAACAGCTAAGGCTAGACCAGGCTGAAGGAAGAGCCCAGAACTCAGGCTGGGTCTCCCCTGTGGCTGACAGCGACCCACACATTTGCGCCCTGATCTGTTGCCTCCCGGGGGAGCGGCAGGGGGCTCATTAGCAGGAAACAAGAAACAGGAGCAAAGCTAGGACTTGAATGAAGCAAGTTGATAGGACATATAGATACCCCAAGTAACGTCTTACCACTGTGCCAAATGCTCGTCCCCAGAAGATCAGTTCTTAAAGGGTAGAGTGCTTTTAACTAGATTAGACCCTATGCCTAGGACTCTGTGGTTTTAGCCAACATTTTATACTATGATATCAGAAATACATGTTGATGCTGATATCTGAAGGTTATAGAGTGATCTTTACCTGTTTGGTGCTAGGCTGCCCCAGGGTTCTGAGAATGTCTCAACCACAGGCAGGACTGCCATGTCGCTGGTTGATGCTGCATGCTGAGCCCCTCAGACTTGCCTCTTTTGCCCTCGCTCCTGCACCTGTCCCTTTACTGTTCCTGTTGTGTTTGGCACTGACAGAGTATGTACTCCTTTCATTCCCAGGTAATCTCATTCCAAGACATCAGGAACTGTTTTATAAAAACCCTGTGTTTGCTGGAGTAAGGTTGCCTGAAATCAAGGAAACAGAACCTCTTGAAAGACGCTACCCCAAGCTCTCTGAAGTTGTGATAGATTTAGCAAAGGTAATGCTGCTGTTCTTCCTTTTTTAAAAAATGTCTTTATTTTTATGGGAAAAGCTGATCAGATTCATGGAGTGGAGAGACAGAGAGAAAGATCTGCCGTTTGTTGGTGTACTTCCCAAGTGGTCACAGTGGCCAGAACTGAGCCGATCTGAAGCCAGGAACCAGGAGCTTCTTCTGGCTCTCCCATGTGGTTGCTGAGTCCTAAGGTCTTGGGCCGTCCTCCATTGCTTTCCCAGGTCACAAACAGGGAACTGGATGGGAAGAAGAGCATTTGGGACACAAAGCGGTGCCCACATGGGATCCTGGTGCTTGCAAATTGAGAATTTAGCCACTAAGCCATCATACTGGGCCCCCTTTTAACTTTCTGACAGGGAATTTATGATTTTCATTTTTAAAAGATTTATTTATTTTCATTTGATAGATTTTTATTGAGAGGAGAGACAGAGATCTTTCATCTGTTGGTTCACTCCCCAAATGAACACAGTGGCTGGAGCTGATCTGATCTGAAGCCAGAAGTCAAGAGCTTCTTCTGGGTTTCCCATGTGAGTGCAGGGTCCTAAGGACTTGAGGCATTTTCAACTGCTTTCCCAGGCCATAAGCAGGGAGCTGGTTGGAAAGTGGAGCAGCCAGGACATGAATCAGTGCCCATATGGGAAACCAGTGCGTGCAATGTGAGCATTTAGCCACTGGATCACCATTCTGAGCCGCCACTTGTGGGAGACCTCAAAGAAGCTCCTGGCACCTCACTTCGAGCTGGCTTAGCTCTGGCTGTTGTAGCCACTTGGGGAGTGAACCATCAAATGGAACATCTTTCTTTCTGTTTTTCCTTCTCTCTGAAAGTCTGCCTTTGCAATGAAAATAATTTTTAAAAAATTTAGACATTTACTGCAATTTTTTAATACCATAAAATAATTAGTGTTTCATATTTTACTGATTGTATATAATTTCTTTTTATAGTTATAATTAAGACCCAAATTAAAACCGTAGCATCTGAGTTGATCTTTTAATACAATTTAAGTTCTTCTTCATCTCTTTGTGTTTGAGCCCTGCAGTTTATTTGTTAGCAAGACTAGATGTTTCGTGTCTAGAACTCTCCGTGTAATGCAGCTTAGCAGGTTGCTGCTGTGTTGTAACAGAGATGGAGATGGTTTGGAATCGGGTTGATTTTTGGCAAGATTGATTCCTAGGAGGTTTGTATTTTCACATAGAGACACTAGACATCACGTGGTGGTCTTGTGATATTAGTAATGATGGATAGTCACTGTTTACGTTTGTACTTTATTTTTGGTTGCAGATTCATTGGTTCTAAAGAATTTTTTTTAATTTTAGAAATGTAAAGCTAGGCAGTTTTTCTTGGGCGTGAACTGTATGCGTGCTTGATTTTTCAGAGATGTTTACATGTTGACCCTGACCAAAGGCCCTTCTGTGCGGAGCTCCTGCACCATGATTTCTTTCGGATGGATGGGTTTGCTGAGAGGTATGGTATCGACCCACGTTTTCTAGAGCACTTTCCGGAGATTTCCAGATCAGTCACAGACAGCGATTCTGTTATTTTCTGTTCCTGCCTGGCTTTGCAGGATCTCAAAATATCTGCCCCACTTCCTCCACCCTTCCTCCGCTCTTATGGATAAAATACTTTATATGGGCTGGTCTTCTATGTTTATGCACCTGGTCTATCATGAAACAGTAATTCATGCTTTTCTTTCCGTCTTCTTGTGGTGACATTTGGCGTTCTGGACACTGACTGTGTGTTGCTCCCGGCTGTGTGAGCCCATCAGGTCTGGTGTCCATGTGATTTCAACAGTGCCTTCTCCTGTTGTGCCCTGAGACTTGTGGTGCTGAGGCTGCAATGTGCCAGGACCTTTAAGGGTCACACTGCGGATGCCAGGGCTGCCAGCCAGCTTTTCTATGCTGCCCACTGCGGGCATCAATGCAGCGGACAAAACAAGGATAGTGAGATGAGTGACAGTGGCACTGCTCTGGCCTTGGAAATGGTTTTACTACTTAGCTCAGTAAGAGACAGCTGAAATTCTCAAATTTATATTTATATATATATATATATATATATATATATATATATATTCAGTAAGTGGTGTTTTCATTGATTTAATGGAAGAAAAACTCTGACCTCCAAAAAATACATAGGTAGAAAACTGAAGAGTGTTTTGAAGAAGCCTTTTGCAGATAATTGTGGATATTTTCAATTCCAAACCAAACCTCTGCAAGTACTTTCTAAAAGTTTATAAATCAGAAATCAGAAGCTTGATCACTGAATTTTTCTCCCTCTGTTAAAATTCATTTCTTTTGCTTTTTAAGCATGTCTTTTGCTCATATATACTTAAAAAAAACAAATTAAAAAAAAGATTATTTGTATTGGAAAGGCAGATTTACAGAGAGAAGAAGAGACAGAGAGAAAGATCTTCATCTGCTGGTTCACTCCCGCAGTGAGCACAGTGGCTGGAGCTGAGCTGAGCTGAGCCAGTCTGAAGCCAAGAGCCAAAAGCTCCCCCTAGGACTCCCCCGTGGGTGCAGGGTCCCAAGGCTTTGGGCTGTCCTTGACTGTTTTCCCAGGCCACAAACAGGGAGCTGGATGGGAAGTGGAACAGCCAGAGCATGAACCAGTGCCCACATGGTATCCTGGCGCATGTGAAACCAGGACTTTAGCTACTAGGTTACCACACTGGGCCCAACAATTGTTTTTAAAAAGATTATTTATTTATTTTTTTTAAGATTTATTTTTATTTTTATTGGAAAGGCAGATATACAGAGAGGAGGAGAGACAGACAGGAAGATCTTCCGTCTGATGATTCACTCCCCCAAGTAACTGCAACTGCTGGGGCTGAGCCAATCCGAAGCCAGGAGCCTCTTCCGGTCCTCTGAAGCAGGTGCAGGGTCTCAAAGCTTTGGGCCGTCCTTGGCTGCTTTCCCAGGCCACAGGCAGGGAGCTGGAAGGGAAGAGGGATCCTGGGCATGCAAAGCAAGGACCTTAACCACTACACCACCATGCCGGGTCCTATTTATTTGTTTATTTGAAAGAGTTACAGACAGAGAGATATCCCATCTACTGGTTCACTCCCCAAATTGCTGCAACCACCAGGGCTGTGCCCGGCCAAAACCAAAAGCCAGGAGCTCCATGAGGTCTTCTCTGTCGGTGGCTGGGACACAGGTACTTGGGCTATCTTCTGCTTTCTCGGACTCATGATCCACCTAGAAGCAGCCAAAACTCATGTTTTTATGACATGCTGGATTCATAGGTGGCAACTTAACCCTCTACATGACAATGCTGGTACCCCCATGCGTTCTTTTAGTGTAATGCATAGTCATTTGGAAAATATTAATTTGCTATGTTATGGAAATATTTTTTTGAAAAGAAGACTTACTTTTTATATGAAAAAAGCAGAGTTACAGAGAGAGAAGGAAAGATAGAAAGATCTTCCGTCCACCAGGTCACTCCCTTAATGGCCACTGTGGCCAGAATTGGGCCAGTTCAAAGCCCAAAGGTGTTAATTCTGGGTCTCCAATGTAGGTTAAGGCACTCCAGCACTTGGGCCATCTTCTGCTGCTTTCTCAGATGCATTATCAGGGAGCTGGACTGGAAGTGAAACAGCCAAGAGTGGAATAGACACGAATGCTAACATGGAAGCTTAGTCTGATATGCCAAAGTGTCAGCTCTGAATTATACAAATCTTAAACATGCAGACATATTTTGTTATATAGTATCAAAAGTAGTCACACAGTAAATAATCAAGAAAATCTTGGGAAGTGTTAGGAACCTGCTAAGATGACATTAGTGAATACAAGTTTTATGAAATATTGATTTTTGCATAAAGACCTGAATTTTATTTATTTTTATTTATTTTTTATTTTATATCATTTTATGACACAGTTTCATAGGCTCTGGGATTCCCCCATCCCCTCCCCAAGCCATTCCCCCATATTGAATTCCTCCATATTGTTATAGTAGTACAGGTCATATCCAGTCATGATTCCTTCATTCCGGGCATGGACCATGCAGAGTCCAGCATCTTATTGTTCTGATAAATTCAACAGTTTCATTGGGAGACCATCCTTGGTCTGAAAGTAGAGCTGGCAGAATATCATCTCCTCCAATGAGATGTCACTACACAACAACAACAGGAAGAAACATCGAAATTAACAACATCATGAAGTTAATTAACATGGTATTGAGTGACCAGTATGTTAGAAAATGCAAGTTCTTAACCACATCCTGTAACTACTTCCTTGGCATCTCATATAACAACCAGCATATAACAACCAGCTTCTATAATCCTTTTTTTTTCTCCCAAGCTAACATGTTTTTGAGTTTAACCTGAATCAGAGTGGCACAGGAACATTAGAAGGCTCAACATTAACACCCATCATTATATATAACAGCTGAGTACAAACTTAACATCAAAGTTTCTATTCAGTTACACTTAAAGTCTTCCTCAAACGTTCTAAGACGATGGAGAATTGCTTTGCACTCCTGACATGTAGTGGAACAAGAGGAATATTAAACAAATTCAGTTTTTCAGTTCTTAGAGGCAGTTCCACTGGGGGTTCCATCTTCTCCAGGGACAGCGTTGAATTCAAGGGAATTGCTGCATTTCCGAGGTCGGATGAGCCATAGGGAAATCCACAGTTTTGAGGATCCATCAGGAAATTCTAGGGACAAGAGCATAACCTTTCCCACGGAATATTAACCTTCCAGAATATCAATTATTCAGTTGTTTTATCAAATACATACAAAAGTCTCTTGGGAAAAATGATACCACCGTATAATCCATGAGTCAGCATTGAATTTGACAAGAGAAAAGAGAGTATTTAGAATAAAAGACGGAAATAGAAAACATCAAAACACAAGGGATGCAGCCAAAACAAAACAAAACAAAAAACAGTATGGATTGGATTATTATTAAAGTTACATTTTCCATGCTGGTTTCCTTAAGTAAGAGAATATATAGTATTTGTTCTTTTGTGATTAACGCATTTCACTGAGCATAATGGTCTCTAGTTGGGACCACCTAGTTGTAAATTTTATTTTTGACATAAATGCTACCCATTGTTTTCCTTAAATAACTAGGTCACTTTGTTTATTTTAAAAAAGGAAATGACTGGGCTTGGCACAATGACTCAATTGGCTAATCCTCCCCTGGCAAAGTGCCAGGGTCCCGTGTGCTTTGTGTCCCAGATGTTTCAGTTTTCATCCAGCTTCGTGCTAATGGCCTGGGAAAGCAGTGGAGGTAAAGCCTTGGGACCCTGAACCCACGTGGGAGACCTGGAAGTAGCTCCTGGCTCCTGGCTTTGGATCAGCTCAGGTCTGGCTGTTGCGACCATTTAGGGAGTGAACCGGCAAATGGAGAATCTGTCTCTCCTTCTCTCTGTAAATCTGCCTTTCCGATAAAAATAAATAAATCTTTTTAAGAAAGAGAGAATGACTGCCAAATATAATCATACTTTTTGTGCTAGTCTTTCCAGTAAAAATGCTGCTCTGTGAAAAAAAGTGTCTGGTTTATATCTCAAATAATCACACCAGACAACCAGTGCAGTTGGATTTGTAGTATGCGATGCTTTACTCAGTTCATGCTTTGTCACTCTGAGGGTAAAAGATAACACATGCAACTGATAAAATTAGCATGCTTTCACTGCTTCATCAGTGTTGTTCTAAAGTAAAACTACTCTAAGGAAAATGGAGAATGTGTGGTTATGAAAGAAACACTGATTCCTAGTACAGATTGGTGCCACTACTTAGGTTCTTGGTAAGTTGTCCCCCAGCATGTCAAGTGTTACAGAAGAATAGAAGGCATCTTTATATTAAGATAAGATCAACTTGGGTCCAGTGATAGCCCAGTGACTAAAGTCATCTTGCATCTGCCGGGATTCCACATGAGCACCAGTTCGTGTCCCAGATGTTCAACTTCCCATCCATTTCCCTGCTTTTGACCTGGGGAAGCAGTTGAGAATGGCTCAAAGCCCTGGGACCCTGCACCCACATGGGAGACCCGGAGGAAGCTTATGGCTCCTGGCTTCAGATTGGCTCAGCTCAGCTCAGCTCTGGCTGTTGCAGCCACTTGGGAAGTGAACCAGCAGATGGAAGACCTTTCTCTCTGTCTATCCTTTTCCCTGTAAATCTTTTCCAATAAAAAATAAATAAATCTTTTTTTAAAAAAAAGATAAAAACAGCTTGGTCTTTGTTGGCCTGCAGAAAGTTTCCAGTCATCCAACTCCTTTCCCACCAGCACCCCCTACTCTCCCTGGCTTTACAAACTGCTGCTTCAGAACTGATCATCTGGGCAATGAGATTCCCATTTCAGATAGCATAGTACAACACTGAGGCATCAAAACTAAAAATCTCACAATTCAGATTTTGCATAAGCGTATCTGTCCCATCTAATTTTATTTTGTTGACAAACGTGTTTTTGTGAAGGTTTCCTCAAGAACTACAGTTGAAAGTACAGAAAGATGCCAGAAGTGTATCGTTATCGAAAAAGTCCCAGAACAGAAAGAAGGAGAAAGAAAAAGATGATTCCTTAAACGAGGAAAGAAAAACACTTGTGGTACAGGTAAATGTGTTTGTGGATTTGAAATTTAAGCGAGAAAAATATGAAAAATTTTAATATAGTGTTTTTCTGTGGTCAAGTTTTTAACTTTCACATTAGTTATAAAAATGTGTCTTTTCTGTATAGGTGCTACCTATTTTCAAATTTTACCGTGTAATGTTTTGAGTGCTTATTGTGTACCACACTATGCAATAGTGTTTGTCAGGAAAATACAAGACCCGTGTGTCTGCACATGGAACGTACACAGGATCACTTATTGTCTGTACATGATATGGGAGGAAAACACAACTTTTGGAATTTTACATAGAGTTTTAAAATCGAGATTTGGATATGTATTTGGATATATATTGCTTTCCCTCCTGAATTATCTTGGGAATTCCGTTCCACCAAGTTACTACCGTCAAGCGAGCCAGAAGAGGAGGGAACTCTCCATTTTGTGTTTGATGATTCGGAATACCTAAGAACACAAATGATATTTTTGATACTTCTCCTGTGTTTTCCAATAGAATTACACACACACACACACACACACACACACACACACACACGACTCTTTTTATAGCAGAGTTTGATTGAATTGCATCTCTGATCTTTATTCATCTTGATAAATAAGCATCTGAGTCTAATTTTAATTTCACAGGGAAAAAAATTTTTAAAATGGGTGCAGGAAGGTAAAATTCTGTTGTGGTCGACAGGTGTTTTGTAGGAAGAGATGAACTTTCCTCCTCAGATCACTAACCTGAACATTTCTGTTAATGGTCAGGATAACAACACTGACTCCAAAGTTAGAGATCCTAAAATATTTAAAATAAAAGGATCAAAACTCGATGGAGAAAAAGTCGACAGAGGCAGTCGACCTTCGAATGCCAGCTGTCTCCATGACAACGGGACAAGCCACATCAAAGCAGTGCCTTCCACAAGCCTTAGAGACTGCAGCACCGTCCACGCTGATCATACAAGGAGTGCAGCCGTGGCAATTCCCCCACTGACGCACGCCCTTTCTGCCGTTGCACCTGCTGTTAACTCTCAAATGGGGACTATCCCAGGAGTTCAGAGTTACAGGTATGAACTGGGAAAGTAAAATTAAAGTTTATTTCTGAGTATATCTGTAAGTTAAAAAGGCTTGTCCATTCATCGGCGTTGTTTTATTTTGCATGCTATTTATTTTTGTCAGGGAACTGCTTGGCGCTAAAAAAGTACTGTTTCTTAATTTTTTTTTTCTGTTACAGAGTGGATGAAAAAACGAAAAAATATTGTATTCCATTTGTTAAGCCAAATAAGCATTCTCCATCAAGCATTTATAACATGAATGTGACTACATCAGTAAGTAAAATATTCTCGGTAATAGAAGAACAAATGTTAGTTCTGGTCTTTTATTAATATTAAATATGGCAGTCAATAACTGAGAATTTTACTTAGAGACAAATAAATAAAACCTTAAATTAGCATATGTCATCCGTGCCTGTCATTGTGGTAAATATGGAATGCATAAGTCTGACGGTTTCAGTATAAAATGTTGCTGTGTTGGTATCTCCCATCTCCAGTCATCCTCTGGCTTTCTTATTTCATCAGTCCCAAGCACTCTGATTTCCTGACTACTTCTGGAACATGTTCACACATGCGCCTTCCTTTTTCTTTACACATGCTGTTTCTTCTGTTTTAGAACATTCTGCAGATAATCCAAGTTTGCTTTTCCCCATCCTTAACTCGTGTGAAACCTCACTGTGAACCCTCACTTTGTACTGTAATTCGTTTTCTCTGCCATCTCTGTGTCCCCACTCCTTGCTTTCCCCCTGCCACGCGGCCTTGGCTTATCTCTGGCATCACCTGTGTATATACTCATTTTATGTTACCTGTCTCCCCTAACTGGAATGTAAGCTTCTGAGTCAGGGATTTGTGCCTGGTTTATTTTCCTCGCTGCCCTACTCCAGCACTAGAACAAGGCTTAGCGCATCCAAGTTGCATAAGAAATGTGAAAGAATGAATTTCCCTCACACACACACACAAAATGGGAGGTAAGGACTTATTCCTAGAGGTACATGTTCTGTGCATATCCCCTTTCTCTACTCATTATTTTTTTAACTTAATTTTATTTTGGATGTTTTCATGGTTGGAAAGGGTGCATACCCATGAGGACCACTGATTAGGTTGGGAGGGGTGAGACATGGGGGGTGGGTGGCACAAATGCTTCCGGTTTTCCTTTTCATCCTTTTTCTCCTGTATCTAGGTATCATACTGTGGAGTAGCCCTGCCAGGAGGCCTCCTAGCCATGGCTTTGCACTGGTGATTGGTGGCTGATGCTGACTAACCCAGCTCAGGCCTCCCACCTGGGTGGGTGCATTGATCTGACCTAGAAGGGTCGTCTGATTTCCCTCCTCCAGACCACCCATTCTCAGACCCCCATTTACGTGCAAGTGCAGTGACCTGCTCAGTGAAAATCCCCCAGAAGTCATCCCTAAACTGCAACGTACTCCCCCAGTGGCCCCTGCTCCTAACCCACCCGCATTCTCTAATCAATCCACAGCCCCTATTCCTGCAAACATGTGGGTTCCTGAGCTCAGTCTTCTTGCCCAGTCTTCTTGCCTGGGGCCCTGCCTACCTGCCCTGGACCCAAGTGCGTGCATGAGTCTCCATGCCCAGTCTGCCCAGTGTGCCAGTCTGGGACCCTGCCTGGACCAGGTCCCGAGACCTGGTCTGCTGGTGGCATACTCATTATTCTTTTTTTTTTTAAAGATTTGTTTATTTATTTATTTATTTGGAAAGGCGGATATACAGAGAGGAGGAGAGACAGAGAGGAAGATCTTCCATCCAATGATTCACTCCCCAAGCGGCTGCAATGGCTGGAGCTGAGCCAATCAGGAGCCAGGAGCTCTTCCAGGTCTCCCACGCAGGTTCAGGGTCCCAAGGCTTTGGGCCGTCCTCGACTGCTTTCCCAGGCCATGGGCAGGGAGCTGGATGGGAAACGGGGCTGCCAGGATTAGAACCGGCGCCCATATGGGATCCCACGGTAGCCACGTTCAAAGCAAGGACTTTAGCCACTATGCTATCGCACCGGGCCCCATACTCATTATTCTTAAAGATGGAAAATGTAGTCTTGAATTTTTCATGATTTGGACATTGCATTGGATTTTCTTTTCCTTATTGTTGGTTTGTAACTTGCGTGCCCATAGCACTTTTCTTTTTGACACCACTCTGTTGATTTTCTAAGTCCTGGTTTGCTTTAGGAGATTGTTTTATCCAGCAAGTTCTTTCAGAGGGACTGGTTCAGTTTTTGTTGGAATTGATGCCAATCTGCCTTCAGGCATTATGTATTCAGATGTGGCTGGTGATGATTATTTCTGTTTATTCTTTGGAAGACATGATTGAGAGGGAGCTGAAGATGAGTGAAGACGAGGTTATCCGCTGCAGTCATTCCTTAATGAAAAGTAAAGCAGGCCAAGCTAAGCCTTTATCTGCTTTGTCGCAGATCCACACCCACCTCCCATGCTTTGTGCCTTGTACCTGAGATGCCAACGAACATTGTATTATAAACGTGTGTTATGTGCTTCACATGGATAAAGTCTGGTAGCTTGAGTTTGTTTAAATTTTACTTGCAGAGCTCTTTTGTAAACTAATTATTTAATTGTACAGCTGTTTTGAATCCAGAACTTGAACACATGTTCTAATGCGAGAGTAGGCAGGCACTGGCATTGTGGCACAAGTTAAGCCTCGGCTTGCGGTGTTGGCAACCCGTGCTACATCAGAGCACTGGTCTGAGTTTCAGTCGCTCTGCCTCTCATCCAGCTCCTTGAAAATGCACCTGGGAAAGCAGCAGCAGATAGCCCAAGTGCTTGAGCCCCTGCCTCCCAGGGGGGACCCAGATGGAGTTCCAGGGTCCTGGCTTCAGCCTGACCCAACCCCAGGTTTGGCAGAATTTGGAGAATAAACCAACAGATGGAGTCACCTTACCTTCAAACCAGTAGGATGAATATGTTTTTTAAAATAATAATAATAGATTAGGCAAAAGTCTAAAGGAAGAGACTCAATAATCTGCTATATAGGACTTTTGAAGATTTTTTGCAGAATAGCATGATTTATTAAACAATAAACTTTGGGCATCAGAAAACCCAAATTATTAAAGGTTGTCATTACATGTGTAATAGCTTTGAGCATCTCATTATGTATCTGTATGTATGAGTTCATATCCATGTGGATTGTTTTTTTGGCAAATCAAATAATCTATGTATCACATATTTTTGAAATTGTGGAGATGAGGCCAGTACTGTGGCACAGTGGGATAAGCTTCTGCTTGTGCTGTGGACATCACATATGGGAGTTGATTGAAGTCCTGGCTGCTCCTCTCTGACCCACCTCCTTGTTTATGGCAGCAGAGGATGGCTCAAGTCCTAGGGCCCTGCACACACGGGAGACCTGCAGAAGCTTCTGGCTCCTGGCTTCAGATTGGCTCAGCTCAGCCTTTTGTGGTCATTTGAGAACTGAGCCAGCAGATGGGAGATTCATTTTTTCTCTTTTTCTCTCTTTCTGTAATTCTGCCTTTCCAACAAAAATAAACAAAATGAGTATGTGATTTTTTTTTAGGAAAAAATACAGAGAACAGGGTTTCTGTGAGTCTCAAATGAAAAAGAGTAGCAAAGCTCATCAAGGTGCATAGTTAAAATTTGTTTGCTGTTTGTCATTTGATTAGTTTTTCTGACTTTATTTTCCATACCTAATCATACTTAAAAATTATAATAATTGAAGTTTTTTTTTAACTTATCAATATATATTCCTAGCAAGTTGGTATGAGTGCTGACTCAACAAGGACAGATATAAAAAACGAACAAGATTTTTCACTAAGAAAGTAAGAGAAACAAAGTTAGGAGGAGAGGAGAGAATGTCCATGGAGAGAAGTGGTACACGATGGGCAGACGGCTGCACCTGCCAGCTGCAAACCCTGCAGATGTCGTGTGGCCTGGCCTGTGTGGCCTCGCGGAGCAGAGCGTGGACGCCTGTCCTGCAGCCGTCAGTGCTTCTGTGAACTGACACAGGATTGGGCCAAACTCATACCCACCCACCCAAAAGTTACTGACTTGTTAGCAATTTTAACACATTCATTGAATAATATTGTTTTCTATGTCACTGAGCTCCTTTCAAGTTGTATTTTTCCTGTTGTTGTTTAAGTTATTGTTCTAGCCAATTCAGTTACACAAAATTTGGGATATGAACAAAAGAGGGAGAGCCTAGTTGCCTTCAAGCTGCTGTTTTCATGTTGGCCTTTCTCATATTAGGTCTCTAGTGAAAAGAATCTCCTTCAGGCAAATAAGAAAAGAGGGGAGTACGCCAAGACAGATGTGCGTCTACCTGAACTGAACTATAGTCATCTCCCTGAACTGAGGGCCTGGGAGGGCATAGGTATGTTTGTGATGCTGTTACTTTTATCAGCCATTTGGTTGACATTAGTTAAGATGTACGGTAAATGAACTAGCAATATAAAATAAATAGAAATTCATAGTAACCTTCTGTATTTAACTGATAGGTAAAATAAGTACATACTGAGAGAAATATAGAATATGAAAACTAACATCATATCTATTTTCCTGTCCCCAACCACCCCCCACCCCCCAACTGGCTGTTTGTATCTAGCTCGACATTCTAGGCTAGTAAGAAAGGAGAACAAAATCCTTGCAGAAACTCGGATTCCTTCGCTGGCTGCTATTGACCTGCACACCCCCAGCACTGCAGTGCGTCAGGTACAGCACGTTATAGATTGGACAGCACTGGAGTCTTCCTCAGGCTTCACAGTCCTGTATTGTTTGGGGGTGGGGGTTGTTTGTTTTTCGTGAGATCTATAAACCGGCTTGGTCAGATTTGTTGTATGGTTTCTTGAACTTGTATGTTACTGCGTATATATTTACATAAACATTCACCAACAAAAGTAATCCATCTTTGCAATGCAACAAGTATATGTTTGTGTGTGCAGCCTTTCTGTGGACTTGATGTAGTGTGTGTTTTCTGATAGTCATATTTCACTGCATTTACCCTGGAACCAGAACCTAATTTTCAGAGAGTGAAATTGTAACTGTTGATGGTTTCAAAATGAATTACCTTTTTGACATTTTTCCCATTTTGCACATTTGCTATTCCATAGCTCTCTTTTTCCTAATTTTCTTGGAACTCTTTAGAACATGTGTGTTTAACTCATTGTTCACTTAGAAGGCTGGGAAGCTTTTACATTTCCGAGTCAGCACCGCTTACCATGAACATCGAGTGTGGATCGTTGTACGTTCCTCCCGCCTCTGCAGTCTGGGCAGCTCTGTTGTGAGACTTAATTCTCCCTCCTCTTGGGAAAGCATCTCCCTTGCATGTGCACGTTGCCTGCTTGCCCGTGTGGATTCCTTTTGCACTGTTACTCTGCCATCACCCAACAGAGCTCTCTACAAACAAGGCTGTTCTTACCGTTGAGAATGGCAAATGAGAGGCAGTTATCTGGAGGTGCCAGGTAGTCTTTGCAGTCTTTCTTGCTGTCAACATTTAAATGGAAACAAAACAAAGTTCCTTGTGTAAAAATTTGTTACTGTCACAGATTGCACACTTGAGTACTGCAGAATCCCACTGGGTTCCTTGTGCACTTTTACGGTTGGACTTCAGGTCGATCTTAGAGGTGTTGTGGTCGTACAGAGTTGATGGAAGCATCTAGGTTCATACAGTCGAATAAAAACTTCGGCTGCCTTCACACTTCTTGGATATTTTTATTTGCTGTTTCCATCTTTCCATATATATTTTTTAAAGATTTATTTATTTTTATTACAAAGTCAGATATACAGAGAGGAAGAGAGACAGAGAGGAAGATCTTCTCCCCAAGTGCCCGCACGTGCTATGCCGATCTGAAGCCGGGAGCCAGAAACCTCTTCTGGGTCTCCCACGCAGGTGCAGGGTCCCAAGGCTTTGGGCCATCCTCAACTGCTTTCCCAGGCCACAAGCAGGGAGCTGGATGGGAAGTGGAGCTGCCGGGATTAGAACCGGCACCCATATGGGATCCTGGCGCGTTCAAGGCAAGGACTTTAGCCACTAGGCCACACCACCGGGCCCTCATCTTTCCATATTTGTAAACAGGTTCTGCATTCTTTACTTCATTCACTTGTTCAGTTTCCAGCTGTATTTGAAGTACAATCAAGGAGAAAATAGGAATACTCTTTATTTGTTGGATGACCAGGTCTGTTAATGTGAGGTTCAACAGGGTGATTGATAGGATTGTTCAGATCTGTTCTTGCAATGTTTCCCCCTCCCTCCCGTTGCTTATGGCTGTCAGTACCTGGAGCAGTGCTGTTAAAACGTTCTTACTATGGCTGTAGAATTGTCTGTTTGCTTTTTTTTCTTTCATTCATTGTAAGTCTCTGTTAGGCATAGGTACACTTGTAATAGTTTTGTCTTTCAGATATTTTGTCTCTTTAATCTCAGGAAAGATTTCTCTAACATGCTGTATACCTTGAAATCTATTTTACCTGAAACTAAAGTAGCTGTTTGGCATAGTTGTTGAGCCAGCCGTAGGGATACCTGCTTCCCATGCTAGAATGCCCTGGCTCTGATTTTCCGATTTCATCTTTCCTTTAATGGAGACTCTGGGAGACAGTGGTAATGCTCAGGAAGGTGAGCCTGTACCAGTGTGGGAAAGCGGGATTGAATCCTGGCCAAAGCTGGGAGCCAGGAGTTTTATCTCAGTCTCCACAGGGACTTGGATCATCTGCTGCTGCTTTTCCAGGGGCATTAGCAGGGAGCCCAGCCGGAAGAGGAGCAGGTGTCTCAAGCATGGAAGATACTGCCATTGTGAAGACCATTGTGAAAATACTCAGTTATTTGAGAGAAAGAGGGAGAGATTAATCTTCCATTTGCTTCTCAAATTCTTAACATAACCAGGCAAAAATCAGGAACCAGGAAATTCATCCTTGTCCTTGGGTACAAGGGGCCCAATGCTTGAGCCATCATCCACCGCCTTCCCATGTTAGCAGGAAGCTGGATCAGAAGTAGAGCAGCCAGTACTTGAACCAACACTCTGATATGAGATGTCAATGTAATAACTGGTGGCTTAACGTGCTGTGCCACAGTATTAGCCTCCTTTGTCTCTCTGTTAAAAATTTTTGTTCTTTCATTCAAGTCCATCTTTCTTTACTTCAGTAGCGTAATTATGACTACTTTAAAATCTTCATAAGATGGTTCCAGCATGGTTTTTTTTTTCACTTTTTTTTATTGCCTATGTAACTTTTCAGTAGTTAGGACAATCCAAACAAAACTCAGATCTTTTTGGGTAAACAAGTCAATGTCTACTACCTTATTAGCTCTGTATAAGATGTGATGGTGATAAAATTTCACATTCTGGCAACTTCTAGAGTTTTGAACATGTAAGACATCAGCAAGATGGACTTTAACAGTCATAAAAGTTCAGAAATGTCTTTTTAAAAAATTTTACTTATTATTTGAAAGGTGGATTTACAGAGAGAGAAGGAAAGACAAGGAGAAAAGGATTGTATTTGAAAGGTAGATATATATCTCTCTCCATATATAGAGAGAGAGATATAAATATAGATATATATATAGAGAGAGAGAGAGATGGGGGAGGAGAGGTAGGGAAGGGATGGAGTGAGGGATGGTGGGAGGGAAGAGACAGAGATCTTGAATCTACTGGTTCACTCACCAAATGACTGTAACCGCTAACCAGAGCTGGGCTGCTCCAAAGCCAGGAGCCTGGTGCTTCTTCTGGATCTCCCATGTGGGTGCAGGGGCCCAAGGATTCGAGCCATCTTCTGCTACTTTCCCAGGCACATTAGCAAGGAGCTAGATCTGAAGTTGAGCATCTGGGGCTCAAGCTGGTGCCTATATGGGATCCCAGTACCACAGAGGCTTAACCTAATATGCTGTGGTGTTGGGCTTAACATAAGCAACTTGTACCACAAATAACTAACTATGAGTATCTGGTATTTGAATCATCAGAGTTGGGCTTTTTGAGGAGTGATGCTTTAGCAGTTACTAAGAACCTGTTGCTGACTCGCAGGTGTCCGGGTCTCCCCTGTCAGAGGGCTCAGAGGCTGACTTGCCATGGACGGAGCACCAGCACTGAGGTTCTGGTCTGGGTAGGTCTCACTTCTCATACTCACAGCTGAGTGAGTGCCCTCTCACTGGATGGGTTTTGTGTCCTGTCGACTGTGTTTTTTCCTTGAAACATTTCTTTGGTGATTCTTTCCATGAGAACTCCTGATAGCGAAGTGTTCTGGCTCTTAGAACACTGCATGTAGCATCTGTTCGTACAGCTTACCCTCCTTGCATAAATACTCTGTACCTTATTGACTTTAGTAGTGTGAACCTAGGGGGGTATGTGTTCAAGGAGGATGCATGCGTGTCTCCTGTATCATCAGTTGCCTATGAGTTTATAAAGTAAGATAGATTGATTACTTGGCAATCTTTTTCCCAATAAAGAGAAATCAATCGTTGCTATACCAAATGATTGCCTTGTTTTAAAATATAGCATGCATCCGTTCATTTACTTACTTATTTACTTGAAAGGCAGAGTCATGAGAGAAGCAGAGAGACCAACAGACAGATGGACAGACAGACAGACCAAGAAAGATTTTTCATCCACTGGTTCACTCCCCACATGGTCGCAACAGCCAGTGCTGAGCCAGGAGTCAGGGACTTTTCATGTGGGTGCAGGGGTCCAGACGCTCAGGCAAGCTTCTGCTGCTTTTCTCAGGCTATTAGCAGGAAGCTGGTTGGGAGGTAAAACATCTGGGACTCGAACTGGTGCCCATTTGTGGCAGGAATCACATGCTTTCGTTGGCACCCACCACCTCCCAGGTACGTTAGCAGAAAGCTGGGACACAAGCTCCCCAAGTAGCTGCGACTTGAACTAGACACTCCGGTATGGGGTATGGGCATTCCCAACAACAGCTTAACCTGATGGGCCACAGCACCACCCTCACAAAGCAGTTTTCATATTTGTGACATCCAAGGTAAATTTACTATGCAGTGATCAGAACTTAAATTTAACCCATCATTCATAAGGCCCTAAAAATCTTAGGGGAGAGGTCTTTGGAATGCATTCATTAGAGTTAGTTTAAGTGACCCCATGAACAACTACGTCATACAAACTTCATACACTTCAGGCGCTACCAGTCTTGCGTCTCTTTTGTTAAAAATAGTCATTGTTGGCATAAAAGGAAATAGGGTGTAATTATTCTAAAGGTAATCTTTAAAATCTTGGGTTGTTACATATTACCTGAGGTTTTGTTAGACTCCACAGTACCTCCCAAAACTATCAAAATGTGTAATGGGAGAAAACCTGTGAGTTAGAGATGGAGCGTGTGCAAACTACTTGGCAGTATTTCTTTCTGTCCTTTCAGATGCTGCCCTGGCACTGAGGATGGCATCCTCCTGCAACAAGACTGCTTGTATCCTGGGAGGAGAGATGAGTACTTTGGGTGGCTTCCTCTGAGCTCCCTGTGTCCTGTAAGAGACTTCGCAGAAGAGGGGACCGCAGGGACTTGCAGTCGTCTCAAAGGAAGACTGAACAGATGCTCCTCCCCACTGTTCCAAGATGTACCTAGTGAAAGGGTGATGTGCTTCTGGTTACACAAGTGTGTGCTTGCTGCTAGTAAATAGTGTATCTAAAGTTATGAAAGCGAGTGAGCCAAGGACAGAGACCTTACAAAAGGTCCTGAATTGCACCTTGTGTTCTCTGTGTGAATGTGAGCCTTTGTGTGGGAGTGGGTCGGATGGGGGGCGGGGTGGTGATAAAACTAGGACCAGTAAGAGAGAATGTTTGTTTTCCCCTAATTTAACTCCAGAAACGTACTTTTAAAATGTCACTTGATTTTAGCTGACTTGGATGTAACTGCCTCCCATGGGAAGATGGGCACCTTTGGGTTCTGTCATTACTGCTGCTGTGTGATCAGTGTGTTGTGGGACTCTGGCCTCTCTGCTGACCTAAGAACCACTGTAACGCGAATCTGGCAGAGAAACCTTTTCTTTGAAATGATGTAGTAGAAATCTGGTGTTGGAGGGCCCTTTGTATTGTAAGATCCTGGCGCTGGTCTGGTGAGAAGGAACGTTAACTACAACAAGCGAGGAAAAAGAGAAGTTTGCAGTTACATCTTGGAGTTGAGTACCATCCTTCTCTCTAGCAGTGCATGCACCGCACAGGAGAAGGGAAGCAGGGTGGGCTGCCTTTGAGGGTGGGCTGCTGTTCTCTGGGCCTCAGCCAGCCAGCCAAGGAGGCTCTGGGAAGTTGAGTGTCCTTTGGATCCCACTCATATCCACCAGTAGAATGTAGAGGGGTTCCTGTCTTACAGTTTGTTACCTTAAACACTTAGGCCTTCCCAGAAACTTTTCACCAAGGTGCAGAATCATTTATCTGTTTTCCAAACGTCTTTACTAATGCATGGATCCACAATTTTTTTAGGTGGGGCTTAAAACAATTTGCCCCCCAGGTTCTTGATTTCTGGGTTTTCAGGTATGCTCTGCATTTGTCATTTTAGAAAGCAGTTAAGGAAACCAGAATTTATGTGCATTCTTTGCCTTGACCAGTTAATCGTGAATTGTATCTTTTTTCCAAAGGCTATTGACTATAACGTTGCCCATGAATCTAACTGAAACTGCTCTATTTCTCTTAGGAGCCTAATGTTGAAAATATGACTTTAGACATTTGACTTTCAAAACATAGGATGTAAAATAAGGAGTTCCAATGTCCAAGTCTGTGGGTGGTGTTTAAATTAAAAATTGGTTTTGATTTAAAAACTCAACTTCTAACCAGGTGTTTGACTAGATTATTATGGCTAACATGATGGAGAAAATAAAAAATATTGACATCAATATGCTTCTTATTAAATGCTATTGTTTTTACTTTGAAAAATATTTCCAGTAGACTCTCCAGCATGGAAAGCAGATAATACTTAAAGCCATGTGGCACTCCAGCTCATTTCAGTACTTTTTTTCTGTAAATATCAGGTGAAAATTCTGGCTCAATGCCTGAGGATCTAGGATCAGTTATTGTTTAATTTCTACCCTTTTGGAATGTTATCCTTGTTAAAATGACTAGGGAACTTTAGAATTAAGGAACGGGAGATTATTTACTATACTAACTCTGAGAGTTGAAGCTTTTATCTGATTAGAACCTTGAAAGTATTACTAGAAAAAGATTTTGAAAATTGGGACCATAGTTATTGAACCAGTGTGATCTTTTTTTCATCATAAGGTTATTTAGATTCTCTATACATTGATATGACTTTGTCACATGCTGATAAAATACCTGTGTATTATAGTGGCCTTGCAATGTGTAAATAACATATGACTTAAAATTAATAAATATGATCTTACTATGCCCCATAGATGGCTTTAATTTAGATTTACTTCATTAGCAATTATAAATGATATAGGTACTGCTGTATGATGTGGTACAAGCAAACAAGCTTGAAATGATCTGTTAATTATTTTTTTTTTCCAGTGGGAAGAAGCTTTGATACAAGGGTAAGTTAATTTTGCTGTAGAGCTAGTGACACCAACAGTGTGGCCATCAGCTACCAATCTGGTAGAGACTGCCTTGTAGAGATACCACAGACACAGGCCTAGGACTGGATTCCCATCGCTTCTCGGCCTTTTGGCTAAGATCAAGTGTAGAACAGGATTACCTGGGTTGAGAATCCCTTGCTTAGATCGATTATATGGCGTCCCGTTGAAATGGGGGCATGGAGATATGTTTTCTTATGTGGCTCACACTTTTGGTCCTTTATCTAGATTGTGCTATAAAATCAGACTGGATGTGTTCCAAGTTGTTAAGTCAGACTGAGCTGGAAAAATGTGACTCATTTGTTTTGCACGACCTCCTCCATGTAACCACAGAGACAGATACCTATGCTAAGCTGCAGGCTAGACTTAATGAAGATCAAGTGGCTTTTTACTTATTGTTTGGTATTAAGTGTTTTGACGTTAGAAACAGACCCTAACACTCAGCTATGTGAATTAAAAGTTCTGTTCTCACATTGCTTTCTAAAGGGACTTATTTTTTTCTCTTGATAGCGTTAGGCAAGAAATAACTTGAAATATAATTAATGTACAGCTTGCCTATTTCTTAACATGCCCTTCTGAGAAGTGTGTTACCACAAATGTTGACATCATCACTTGCAGGTAACTTACTTAGATTTTTGCGTTTAGAAGTACTCGTGTGTCTCTGATGTTGAACATGTTAAATACTGAGAAATTCTCTTGAACAAGACATCTGCAAATGTTATCTCCCTTTGGTTTCAGCGATAATTAATTTCCTCCTGTTGCACAACCTCATTTACTTCCTTTATTCACTACTTTGGCATTCAAGGTCAACATTGGACATAAAAAAGTTTCCACTGTAGTGCTAGGAAATGTTCTGTCAGTTACAATGAATTAATATTAAAAAAGGAAACGGAAATGAAAGCAACATATCACTAGTCAGCGTAAACACACCTTTTTTTGTCTTGTTCTGTTCCACTCTGTCTAGCTCAGTGTTTAAGTAGAAATGTTATTAATAGTTTACATGAAAGGTAGAAGAATTATAAAATATCACTTAATAAGTAAATGCTGAAATACTTAGAATTGTTTAGAATTGCTTGATTGCTTAGAATTCATTTTTAAAATAAAAACATTGGGAGTTCAGGCTGCCAGGGTTATATGCTTCCTCATTCACTTCTAGAAGAAGATGCGAAGAGTTTTCCAGCCAACCAAACATCACCTCTGTTGGGCCTGGCTGACATAGTTTGCCTCTGAACCAGTTGCTGCCCAGCTCAGGCCTTGGTCCTCTGTTGAGTTCGTTTACCTGGATGAACAGAAGCAAAGGGAGGGAGGGGTATACTGATTGGTTTAGGCTGATGGCAACCTGCCCGTGGCAACACATGGTGTCTACGAGGCAGTGGAGACATGAAATAAACATTGGGGAAGTTGTCTCCCCAAAGATGGACAATTGGGTGGCCTGGCATGGTAGCCTAGCGGCTACTGTGGGATCCCATATGGGTGCTGGCTTGAGTTCCGGCAGCCCTGCTTCCCACCCAGCTCCCTGCTTGTGGCCTGGGAAAGCAGTGGAGGATGGCCCAAATCCTTGGGATCCTGTACCCACTTGGGAGACCTGGAAGAGCTCTTGGCTCCTGGCTTCAGATCAGCTCGACTCTGGCCATTGCGGCCACTTCGGGAGTGGATCAGCAGATGAAAGATCTTTCTCTGTGTCTCTCCTCCTCTCTGTATATCTGACTTTCCAACAAAAATAAATAAATTAAAAAAAAAACCAAGATGGACATTTGGAAGCTGCAGGAAGAATGCTTGTTTACTGCCAAGTCATCTTTAGTATTCTGTACATCTTCAATATTCCAACAAAAATATTAGAAAGTCTAATTTCTCACATTCACTATTAACAATTTCATTTGATCAGTCTGATGGGTAAAAATTATCTTGGTATAGTTTCCTCTTTTTGAGTACTACTAAAGCAACATTTTCTTATGGTTTATATATTTTATTGTTCATTTGAGTTCCTTCTTACATGAATAAGATATAAATGGTCTTTAAAAAGATAAAGAATATTTTAGAATAAATATTTATTTGGATTTTTCTCTGTAAATATTTTTCTTACCCATAAAAAAGACAAATATCAGATTCAGGTAATATGAATATTATTAATGTGTATTGTAAAAAAAACTATTTGTAGTTTTCAGAATTTTTGATGTAAAAATAGATTTGTCTCTTAATTACATTTTCCCTTTGAAGGACCCACATAATGTTTGCTATTTTTATTTTATTTTATTTTAAAGATTTATTTCTTTTTATTGGAAAGGCAGATATACAGAAAGGAGGAGAGACAGAGAGGAAGATCTTCCTTCCAATGATTCACTCCCCAAGTAAGCTGATCCAAAGCCAGGAGCCAGGAGCTCTTCTAGGTCTCCCACGCAGGGTCCCAAGGCTTTGGGCCATCCTCAACTACTTTCCCAGGCCACAAGCAAGGAGCTGGATGGGAAGCAGGGCTGCTGGGATTAAAAGGTGAGGATTTTTGACACAAGGCTATTGCGTTAGGCCCCTGAAACACCTTTTGGAGAAGTGTTTATTTGCTCTATGTGAAATCCACCCATCTTGAGTGAGAGTGGGCATCTGACTGTTCAGGTGGAGGAAGCTGTGAAGACTGTTATCAAAGAACTTAGAGTGCATAGTATGTGTAGAATGTGTAATAAAATGTGTATTTAAAACATAAGCCAGCAAGTAGATACATTTTGTTTAAACTGTGGAAATTCAGTTTCTCCAGGTCTGTTGGAAGGAGTTAACAATCTCAAGAGCTACCTCAAACAATTAGCATTACCAGGAGAATTTGTGTCTTGACTGGTCTTAGAAAAGGAATTTTACAAAGAAGGTTGGACTTGAAGGGTTTTTCTTTTCTTTTCTTTAAGCCATAGATGCCTCTAACAGACGTCTAAAAAATTCCAAAATTATGTAGGCAGCTGATTTAGAGTAGTCTGTGGCTCTGGTTACCATTCCAAAGCATTTTTCAACAAACTGTTGAGAGACACATTGTAGTGAAGCAGAATGGTTGGTCTCAGAATGCCGGGGGAGGTGAAGAGCATGCACTCGGGGCTCCGTTGTTTTATTTGAGAGGAATAGGTGTGCTTTGGCTCTCTCCTTCCAGTGGTTCTTTTTTTCTGGTTTTCAATGGTTCTTTCTTTTCTTAAAAAAAAAAATTTTTTTTGGTGAAATTCCTGTAAAAATAATGAATTGATTTGGGAGCAAATAGGGTTGAGTATCAGGAGGTTTAAAAATTCGCTTATTGACCAAGTATTTGTTGAATCCCTACTACGTGTAGATGTTTTCAATCCTGAAAAAAGTAAAGACAGTGAACAAAAAGTCACATATTGCATTTAATTATCATGTCACTTTTCATCCTTAGCTTTTGTTTTTCATACAGTTTTTAAAAAAAGATTTGTAGTGATTTGAAAGGCAGAGAGAGAATGACAGAGAGATGTCTTCCATCAGTGGCTGACTCTCCAGCTGCCTGCAACAGGCAGACAAAAGCCACATGGAAGCCAGGAGCCAGGTGGGCAACAGGAACTCAGGAGCCAGGCAGGCTCCCGTGTGGCCAACAGGAACTCAGGAGCCAGGCAGGCTCCCGTGTGGCCAACAGGAACTCAGGAACTGGAGTCGTTTGTTGTTTCCCAGGTGCTTTCACAGGAATGTGGCTCAGAAGTGGAGCGGCTGGGATTGCATCCAGCAATCTGACATGTGATGTGGCCATTCCAAGCTGCAGCTTGAACGTGCTTCACCGTGTTTTTGAAGATGCCAGTTTTGACAATGTCCCTATTTGAATTTGGTGATGTAGGTACTATGTGTGGCACATTATTATGACTGTACATTTGTGTGGGTTATTCTTGCCTTATAATAAAAAGTGTGTTAGTTACCATACACTTTTGATCAATTCTCACTGCTTCAAAAGCAGCTGTGTGTTATGAAGAACTCATGTGAAGTTCCTGAAACTATTTGCCTAACTCAATAAGCCTGCTGGGGATCACTGTGCATCACTATATTGAGAAAGCAACTGTATTGACCTAAAAGAATCATGATACAAAATAGCTTTTCTTACATAACAAAGGCACATGCTCAAATTGCAGGTGTGCGACTGCTGCTTGTCTAGGCGCTGCTGTGGGCCGGTGGTGGGCCGCGAGGCAAATGTGCCTGGAGTAACTTTTGAAAAAGGCCTTCCCATGATGCACCCGGGGAGGAGCCTTCTTTGTACAACCGCTGCAGCGACCGGACACCGAAGCTGCTGAGCATCTTTGACTTGTCTTCATTTACCTGATGCTTACAGTTGTCTTGCAGGGCCTTTAGGAACAAGATTCCAGAACTGTTAAGTTTTGCACTACGAAGTTTCCACTGTTTGGAGAGTGAGAAAGCCTAGTCAAAGCCAGGTTGCCTTTAAAGAGTTGAGGATGCTGTGAGGACACTGTGAGTATCGGGGTGAGACATGAATTTATCGGAATAAAAGGGTGAATGTCAGAAGGGAAGTGAGGTTCAAGTGCAACTTCACCTACCAGTTTGCCAGAGCATGTCCCTTTCTTCAGATCTTCCCACTTACCAAAAAAAAAAAAAAAAAAAAAGACAGTGGGAAATTTTTATTTCAGAACACCTGTTTTTTCTTGTTAAAAATCTTTATTTGGAAAGCAGAGTGATAGATGTTCGATTCCCCAGGTCATGCCCCAGTTGCCCACCACAACCTGGGCTAGGTAGAGAAGAAGCTAGAGGCCTGGAACTCCACCTGGGTCTCCCACATGGGTATCAGGGACCTGGCTATTGGAACCATTATCTGCTTCCTCCCAGGTAGAAGCTCGCTGGCAGAAGCCAGGAGTGGATGTGGAGCCGGGACTCGTGGCAGATGCTCTGCTAAGGACTCAGGAGTCCCAGGGGCAGCCAGTACTCCATGCCTGTCCCCAAAATGCAGCTTCAAAAAGATAACCTATGGTTTTTAATTTTCAATGTATAAAATTGAAGTGACTATCTTCTTAAAATGAATATTTGCTCTCAAGTGAATGAGGGAAATATATATTTTAAAACATTTAACGTAACTAGGAAGCATGGCGTGATCATCTTAGGTGTGGTTTTTGTACATCTTTCTCCCCTTCTCTCAGCCCACCATCCCTCCCAGCATGCTCACGTCAATGTGTCGTGTCTTTTTATTCTTTACAGCAACAGCAGCTTCTGCCCCATTTTGTAGCAGCACAGGTGTAAGTCACTGGCCACAAATGCAAAGCAAAATTGTATTGTCCCAGGCAAGATGAGTGGCACAAATAGGAGGTGGCAGGGGGAGAGGCCAAACAGACAATCTCGGAATGCAGTGTATGAGCTTTTTCTTTGCTTTTCTTTCTTTTTCTCACTCTACCCCAAAACTGCAAGGTTGCCATAATCAAATGAATTCATGCCTGTAGAGTTGCAGAGGTACCAACGCACCTGGGTAATGTTTTGATCAGTCATTTGTGCCGTGAACCATGGGACAGCCTGAGGGGAAGTTGAGCATTTTTTATATGGTATCTGAATGACAGTGGCAGGAACAATGAGCGTCTTCCGTCATCTGTACCAGCTGCTTAAACAAGTTAGCATTAAAGACCATTTAGAACACAAAGTTTACTTTTACTTTACCATTAGGTAATTTCTATCTTTAACATACTGTCCATGGTCAGACTCTCCCCGGGCTTTTTTTAGGCCTTAGTTTTTGCAATTTCTGTTAAAGTTCATTTTGTAGATGTGCCTAACTCTAAGCAAAAGAAAGGCCGACAGTCTCGTGTCTACATCTGACTCCAGGCTCCATTTATTTAAGGCCTCCTCATCCTAAGTTGGAAGAGGAGGTTGGTGCTGCAGGCATCTCAGTATGGGCAGGAATGAGTATAAGATTTTATTCACACAAATATCCTTGGACCATAAACATTTGGGGGTAACAATCATGTCCTGTTTTGCAAACATGAATCGAACCTCTTCACTGCTGACTGTGAGAAGGGCTTCCGACCCATGGTGTTTAGAACACTTGATTTACGGATCCATTCATCCTTGCCTGGGAAGAGAAGGCAGATCTTCTCACCTCCTCCAACGTGCTGGCTGCTTTGGCTTCAGCGAGTGTCAGCTTCTCTTTCCTCTCCACTTTCTTCGGATGAGCTGTCACTAGAGAGCTTTCTTATGGGAAAATAGTTCAGAGGAAGGCGGCCATGTGGCCCATAAGATGGCCGGAAGGGAAAACGGTGGTTGCACTTGGGAGGGAAGAAGGGCCTGTTTGGCAGTGTGAGGTGGACTCTGGGCCTTCTTAGTGGGAAGTTATGGAAGGGACACCTGGGCGTCCGTGGGGTGCGCCATGCCCCTGTGACCGGGGCCCTGGTGCTGGGTGCTGGGGTGAGAGGGAAGATCTGGCAGTCTGTGGGATTCATGTTATTTTCTGGGCCTCCAGGAGGGGTGACCGCCTCTTTTCCTGTAGGGAAAAAAAATGCAAATCAAGAAACAGACACCAGGTAACCAAAGTCAGAAAGAAGGTGGCAGGGGAGAATGATGGGAAGAGAGCCGTAGGGAAGCCTCATAGCCCACATGGAAAACTCGTCAAGGTACAGTAAAGTGGAAGCCAAACACACCCAATGTCCTGGGATTTCTACTCCGAGGAGCTTACCCCAGGGAAGTCAGGGTATTTGTCAAAAGGCTAGCCCCATGGTGCCCATGGCCACCTTGTTCACAATCACCTGAATCCAGAAACAACCCAGCGTCCTTGTGTGGAAAATGGAGACACAAGCTTTGTATTTATGCCCTGAAGCAGAGCCCAGTAACACGAAGGGAACATTCCTGATCCCTCGAACGGCATGGATGAATCCCAGGGATTCGGCAGTTCATACTCCATATGAGCCCGTAAGCCATAGAACAAGCAAAATGACTTGTAGTAAAGGGGCTGGTGGTGTGGCTCAGCAGGTTAACTGCCTGTAGTACCTGCTTCCCATAGGAACCCCTCCCTCTCAAGTCTGACCATTCCATTTCCAGTCCAGCTCCCTACTGATGCACTTGAGGAAAGCAGCCGATGATGGCCCAAGAACTTGGGCCCTCGGCTTTCACATGGGAGACCTGGGTGAAGTTCCAGAGCCCTGGCTTTGGCCTTGCCCTTAGCCTTTATTTGAGTGAACCAGGGGACAGAGGATTTCTTTCTCTCTTTGTCCCTCTGTCTCTGTATCTTTACCTTTCAAATCTTTTGTTTTTAAGATATTAAAAACTGCAGTAACGTTCAGTTTAGGATTGTGGGAGGTGTTATTTTGTGGAAAGAGTAACGAGGGAACTCTCGAGAAATGCTCTATCTTTGATATGACTGTGGCAACATAAGTAAAGCGCTATGAAAGTGCTTCAGAAAGTCGGTGTAAAGTGGAACTCAAAGATAGTTTGTCACCCAAAATTTTGAAATCCATGCATAGTTTTTTTCCGTGATCTTTTTTTTTTTAAACTTGAATTTGTTTTCATAAGTGTTTGAGAGGCAGAAATTCGGGCACAGAACTCTCATCTATTGTTTCATTCGCCAAATGCTTGCAACAACTCAGGCTGGGCTGGAGGAAGCCAGGAGCCAGGGGCTCAGCCCAGGTCCCTCCCAGGCGGGTAGCGGGGAGGGAACAAGCCTCTCTCCTCCCAGCCCGCTCGAATTGAGAGCTGAGCGGAGACTGGGATATCAGACACTTTGATGTGGGATGTTGGCATCCTCCCTGGCATCATAACCTCTAGGTCAAATGCCTGCCCCTTAAAGAGCTTTGGAAGAGCACATAGAGACACTAATGTGCATGCACACATATGTACACACACATATATTACATTCATGTATCTATAAGAGAGTACTTCAAAACACTTGTGAAAAATGAAATCGAAAGGTGAGTTTAGGGGAAAAAAATTGAAGACATGCCTAGCTGTTCCGTGAACTCTCTTAAGATCTCATACATGCACACGTGTGTTTACACATGGGCATACATGCCGATATTAAATATGTAAAATATGACCAAGCTGCATCTTTGAGAGTTTGTGGCTTTTATGCCACAATGACAACTTTCAACTAAATAAAAGCTAGTGGATAAAAGTAGTGCTCAGAAGTAAAAGTCCCCCGGAGGCCGTTCCTTTGACAGTTGAGCCTTGCCTGCGTGAGAAGGGCCATCCCACCTGAGAGAGGGGAGGGGGCGGCCATGGGCGGCAGGGAAGCAGGGTGATGGGGGCCAGCTTGCTGTTAGTTTTGGAGAAGAAATGCAGAGCAAATCCAAGTGTTAAGGTCATCCCTTGGCTGTATCATCCACTACACTGGCTGTGAAAAAGTAAGCTCTAGAAAAATCGTTCCTCCATTCCCTAGCAGGTTACCATGAGAGCCTGTGTGAGGCCACCGGCTGTGACAGCGGCAAAATAAACTTTCATAGGAGGTTGAGAGCACTGAGGGACAATCCGGGGATCCCAACAGCCTGGAGTCTGAATGAGGATGGGGTTAATATTTTATTCAGAGCATAGACAACCATTCAAATTAATCTTTTTTTAAAAAGTAACATTTGTTGGAGTTTTCTCCAAGAACCTTAGTATAGGCAGCCCTGGAAGGTCAAGAACAGAGTCTACTCCATTGCCACCTGGTCCGTCACCTTGCTCTCTCGGAGGATCTTACACAACTTGCTTCTTAAATGTGTGGGCTAGTTCTCTGCTTTCTCATCTAACAGGCCAACATCGGCCTCCGTGGGTTGTGTCCAGCGCCTTCTACTTCCTTGGTGCCCTGTGACTGCCACCTAAAGCTCAGCCTGTGAGTGAGCACCCCGCAGCAGTCTCATCAGCCCCATAGCAGAAAGTGTGCAGAGCTGTATTTCCAGGGGCTGTGGATCAAACAGCGCCTGGGGGGGGCTGGGGCACAGGCAAGTCCTGCGTAGTCCAGCATGGCCAAGGGACCTGAAGCCAACTGTGCTACAGGAGAGGGAGCCTTGCCCTTTGGACATGCCCCAACTGCTGCGTGTGAGAGCCAGCCAGCTTTTCTTCCAGGCTCTGGGCTACCCAGTAGTATCAAGAGCTTTCTTCAGGGGACTTTCTGAGAGTTCAAGGTCAAGGTAGAAGCTGGCCCCAGTCTTACTAAAAACATATGCCTCTGGCAAAGCAGACAAAAGGGGATTGTCTGCTCACTGCTTGTCTAGCACTTCGGTCTTAAATTTCGAAGCCACAGGACCAACGCTGTGGTATGGTATGGTAAGCCTCTGCCCACAGTGCTGTCATTCCATTGGGTGCTGGTTCCAGTACCAGCTATTCCACTTCCAATCTAGCTCCCTGTTAATGTTCCAGTGGAAGCAGCAGAGGCTGGTCTGGGTCCTTAGGCTCCTGCACCCACATGGGAGACCCAGAGGAAGCTCTCTGCTTCTGGTTTCATACCGGTCCAGTTATGGCTGTTGCAACCATTTATGGAGTGAACCAGTGGGTGGAAGATATCTCTCTATTTCCCCGTTTCTGCTTCTTTCTGTAAATCTACCTTTCAAATAGAAATGAATAAATCTTACAAATATCTTTACAAAAAAAAATTGGGAAGCCACAGGGGTTGGTTTGGGAAACTCACATTTTACACAGTTTGCCCCACATCTGGGTACTGGGGTTTGCCATTCAATGTCAACACTGCTCAGCAGCTCCTTGGCTTGTCTTTGTTCTACTCTGTGCCCATGGCCACCCAAGCCTTTGTTTTGCCCTCATCCCGGCCACCCTCTCAGTCACCTTTGTTCATGTGAAGCATTCTCATTGAAGTTCTCGCCACCTTTCTTAGCAGCTTGGTGAGCTCTTTCTCATGCAGAAAGTGGAAATGCTCTGTGTGTACTTCTTCCTACCTTTCTCTTTAAAGTCAGCATGTGGACAAATTCCACTTTTCTCTCTGCCTATTCAACGCATTAGAATATGACTCTTCCTCTTCTACTCTACCAAAGCTGCTTTGGCCAACATTATCAGTGGCCCTGAGTAGAGAGAAAGAGGGATGGAGAGAGAGGGAGACAGAGACAGAAGAAAGAGGCAGAGAAAACGCCTTGTGTCTCACATGAGTGCTGGTTCAAGTCCATTTCCAACCCACCTCCCTGGTGATACTCCTGGTGAAGCCACAGAAGAAGAATCAAGTGCTTGAGTCTCTTCCAGCTACGCAGAGACCCAGATGGAGCTCCAGACTCCTGGCTCTGGCCTGGCTCAACCCCAGTTGTTGAGGTCATTTAGGGAATGAAACCAATGAATGGAATCAATCTCTCCCACTCTTTCTTCTGTAACTACCTTTCAAATAAATGAATCATTTTTTAAAATTAAAGTATAATTTAAAAACAAACCAAAATATTGCCTGGAATTTGGATAAAAGTTTTAAGTAGGTTTATTACAGTCTAGACATGAAATTCCCAACATACCAACAACCAGTATTTTTAGAAAAAGGGGCAATGATGCGAAGGTCTGTTTTGATAATTACCTGTAGTCTGTGGTTATTTGGGCAGACAACAGCTGGTTTCACTGATTTTAAGAAACATAAGCTCTATGCTTGATGCCTTATGCTTGGTCTCTTGGAAAATATCTCAAGCTTCAGAGTTGAATCAGAGGGAAATCTATTTAAATCCTCATACTCGTAATAACTGCAATGGCACTCATTGTACACTTAGGAAGTGACTGTCTTGGGGAGATCTCTAACGTGAAAAATAAAGCATCTGGATCTCAGAGAGTGTTCTGTGGGTCCCTTCCTGTGCAGTTCCATCATTCCAGCAACAAGCAGGCTGCTGTGCCGAGGCTGTGCCAGAGCCAGAGAAGGTACAACTCCTAAAGTCTGACTTGGATCCACACCACAGGGCAGAAAGCCGCATGTGCTAAGGGTGACATGGCAATCACTTGAGAACACAGAGGTGTCAGCGGGAGACGCTTCAATGTAAAAATGACTACAGACTTGAAGCAGAATTGTATACCAAGATGAAGGCAGGCAGGGGGCGCAAGCGCAGCTGCTGCACAGAGAGGGAGGAGTGTGGAGGGACCGCATGTGCTTGAGTGAGCAGTGCTCAGGAACCTGCAGTGCTGGGCCAGACTGAACCTGCCTTTCACGGATTTCAAGCATTAATGGGAATAGAATTAACTAAATTCAAATGATCAAGCCTCAAGTTTCATTTTGTACTGTGCAATTACAGAGAGAGTACACAAGGTGGTAACACTGGCCCATGTTTGCACATTCTCATAAACTGGATAGCCAACTTGTGACACAGCCCATCAAGATGCCTGCAACGCCAGCATCCCATATTGGAGTACAGGTTGGAGTCCAAGGATGGCTCCAATTCTAATCCAGCTCCCTGCTAATATGCCTGGGAAAGCAGTGGATTTGGGCCCCTATAATCTGTATGGAAGATGCCAGTGGAGTTCCAGGCTGTTGGCTTTGACTCAGCCTAGCCCTGGCCATTGCTGCTACTTGAGCAGTGAACCAATGAACAGAAGATTTCTTATCTCTCTCTCTGATGCTCTGTGTTTCTTTCTTATCTCCTGATGGCTGGAATTCATGAGGATGCTGGGTAAGGACATCTCTGGGTGCTCCGCGACCAGTTCTCCTGTCTCTGTAAGAGAGACAGGAAGGACTCAAGCAGGGAAGTTGCAAGGGCCTGGCTGAGCCCCTGCAAAACCCCTGGGTGGAGCAGTTCAAAAACTCAGGCCACCTGGCAGTTAGGTAGTTTGGTTGAAGGGAGCAAAAAGAACAGGAACAACGAAGAAATCAACAACACAACCCCGAGGAAAGAGACCTGTGCTGTGCTCAGCGACCCAGAGACACCTGTTTTGTGGCTGAGGCTCCTGAGGGCAATGCTCAGACAGAGGTTAAATCCTGACCATGTGCAACTCGCTGAGAACACGGAATGGGAAACTGCTGGAGTTCAAGGTCACAGCTGTTGGCTTCCAGAGTAATGAGTAGTATTTAGAAGCTTTTGCTAGTGAGGAGAATTTTTCCTGCAAAATCTCACTTAGTCCTCACAGCCACCCAACAGTGAATATTATTAATACTGCCACTGTCTGCAGGAAGATGCCAGAGCTCAGAGGGGCTGAGTATGCTCACAACCCCAGACTCAGTGCTGAGACCGCACCAGGGTCTTCAGGTGGTAAGATTCAGCCTTCACGGAGGCCTGGGGCAGATTTCTAGCTCTGGCCCAGGTGTAATCCTGGAGCTGGCTTTGCCTGTCCAAGTGATGGAGGAGTTTGTGAACCCCCAGCAAAATACACCAAGTCCTTACCTTCTGCCACAGCAATCGCCAGCCAGCAGACCAGGAACCAGCAGGAGAAGCTGGGGCCGCGAGCCATGGCGTCCTCCCTGGATCCGCCACCACCGGAGCTCCAAGTTGCTTTAAAGCGGAGGTGCTTGGTGAGTCACCAGCAGCCTGACTCAGGTCATTTGCATAGTGGACCACAGAGTCAGGGTTTGCCAGGGCTTGTGGTGAGGGGCTAAGAATCAGCAAGGGAATACCAGACAGTCTTTGTCAACCAGAAGCTTCTTGGAATGACAACCAGGGATCATTCAACACCCCTTGAGGCCGGATTTCGGACAATCACACCTCACAAGCCTTTTAATCCCCTGATTCTTCTCCGTTGTTGGTGCTTTTTTCTGTGTGTGTGTGTTTCTCTGCAAGACAAAGGAGCTGTCTGGGAAATAGCAAGGCTTCCACAAAAGATCCTGGTGAAGGTGCTGGCGGCGGGAGGGGGGGAAGGGAGGAGGGAGAACCTCTCCCAGAAGCCTCCTCTCTGGTTTGCATGCTCGGGGCTCCACCTCTGCCTTTGTCCCTGGAGACCAGGCAGCAGTGTTGGAAGACTCTTGTCCAGAATGGTCAGGTTGGTTACTGCCTAAGTCCCCGTGAACATTTGGGAAAGTGATTTGGCATGCATGGTTCTTCCCAGGGCCTTCCAGAGTCAACCAGCTGCCTCCAGGGTGGGCACAATACATCTGTACCAAGTTGACTCCTTGGGAGAAGGCCCCTTCCACTTGTGGCTTCTAGAGGAGTGGGAGTGCATGGTGACGGACAATTAAGAGCGTGGACAGGGCCTGGTATAATGGCTTGATTGGCTCATTCTCCCTTTCAAGTGCTAGAATCCCATATGGGCACCAGTTCAAGTCCAACCTGCCCCACTTTCCATCCAGCTCCCTGCTTATGCCTTGGGAAAACAGTGGAGGCAGGGGCTGCCAAGCTGCCCAAGAGGCTGAGTCCTGGAGAATCCAAATGAGTAGGAAAGCAATCACAGATGATGAAAAAAAAGCAATTCCACTGGATTCCTGTGAGCTTGAGGGAAAGCTCCTGAATGTATGCCTAAATGGATAAGCAGATAAGCCTGGCAGTGATTTGAAAAGGAATCAGTAAACACTTGAGATTGTAAATGTCCATTTCACACTGTTCTGCTACCTATCATGAGTAATGAAGTTCCAGTTTTTAATTGGAATTCCTTTAGCCCCACAAGGGTTACGCATTGGCACCTATTCCTACAATAAGATTTCTGATTCCTGTTTTCACCAGTCTTGTGATACATTTTTATATTTGTACCATGTTCATTAACTTCATGTTGATGAAGAGTTATCATTTTCAGCATGTTGTGGATTGTGCTCACTGGTTCCATATTTTAGGGGATATGTAATGGAAGGATAGCGGGGGCGGATTTGTTCAGATACGGAGACAGAGTGCTGTATGCCTCTATGCATACAGACTCCCAGTGGATGGACTCCCAGTGAAAGAATTGAATACATTCTAACAGTAAGATGATAGACTCTTTGACAATGTCCATGCCTACATTGTCAGGAAACACTTTAATAACAGCAGGATGGACTTGTGACTGTTCAGGAGGGACATCCATTATAAAACTAGAGGGGAAATCAGTTGGGGCAGGGAGGGACCTTGGGGAAGGGCATGGCCAACCCCAGAGGCTATGGAACTATATGATAAAACAAAACAAAATAAGTTAAAAAAGAAAGAAAGAAAGGAATCAGCACCCAGGACAAGTTCAGCCTGTGGGACCAAGGCACTACCTCTCTAGTCAGCGTTGCTTCATTTGCTGACTGTACCCATTCCTGCGCCAGACGCTGGCCTGGCAGGGTGCCAGGGCTCCAGGCAGGCCTCTTGCTTACAGTCTAGCAGGGACATTAAATATTAGCTCAGGGATCGCAGGAAAGGATCTGAGTGCCTGGAGTGGAAGGGAGTGTGATCCTACAAGTGGGATCTCTCAGTTTTCGTCCACAGGGCTGCATGACAGTACTGCATTGCAGACACACTGTCATGCTGGTGACATCAGCTCTGCCTAACCACTGGAACCACCGCCCAGGGTTTTGTGGTAGAGAGATACTGCCATTTAAGTAACCAAACTTTCAGTTGCTGGATGCTTGTTCCTCCTTTGGATCATTTGTTTTCTGCTTGGGGTTTCTAATGAGCTTTCGATTTAGATGCCAATGAAGGTAAACAGTAAAAGAGAAGGGACCCTTCCATTTGCATCTACTGTCCTGACATCTTTTAAAATAAATAAAGAAAAACATGTTAGAAGTGTTTTTCAAAACTGCTGCTTTGGGGCCCGCAGTTTGGAGTAGTGGGTAAAGCTGCATCGTGTAATGCCAGCGTCCCATGTGGGTAATGGTTTGAATCCCAGCTGCTCCACTCTCCGTCCATCCCCTTGCTCATGGTGTGGGAAAAGCAGTGGGGGATGACCAGAGGCCTTGGGCTCTTGGACCCACGTGGGAATCCCAGAAGAAGCTCCTGGCTTCCAGCTTCAGATTGGCCAACTCTGGCTCTTGCAGCCATCTGGGGAGTGGAACATTTCTCTCTCTGTTCCTACTTTTCTGTTTGTTGCTCTAATTTTCCAATAAATAAGTAAACATTTAAAAATTATTTCAAAAATTTGATCAGATTTTTACCCGATTCTAAAATTTCTTCACAATAGCAGATAGAGTAACTAAGTCTTGCTGTGTCTTCTTTTTTGTTTGTTCCGTGTGAAGTGGACCCATGTTCTAAAGAACTGAAATGATTGGCGCTGTTGGGAGTGACCACATTCATTTGCAAGAATGCTGTTTACATGAAAACAAAGTCATACTTCTGAGGGTTGAATAGAACAAATTCAAAGCTGTCTGAAGGAATTGCTACAGAATCCCCAACACTGGCCTGCTCACCCAATGTGCACGAAGTCAGCGGCTGGACCTGGGTTGGAGGAAAGAAGGAAGCGTTTATTGCAAAGCATAGAGCAAGGAGCCAGCAGCTGTTGCTTAACTCCTGGACTCCCCAAGAGGTTACTGGCAAAGGTTCCTATAGATTGAGGTTGGGGTTGAAAGGCAAAGTATTCAGCTCATGTTCTGGTTTCTAAAAAAGAAACACCCAAGATAAGACCATTCACCAAGACTTGATGTATAGGGAAAAGGAATGAGTTCAATCCAGGGAGCTGATTTTACTAAGAGATTGATTTGCAATCATAAAAGCAGGGCAAGGACATTTTGAGCTAAGAGGGGATGGAGAGGGGCAGGGACTGTAGGAATCCAACATTGGCTCCAAGGTACTGAATAGGGTTGAGTCTCAAAAGCATACTTCAAATGCAGTGGCTTTGATAAAAACACATTTTCAACCACAAGTCATCCTTTATTGTAGAGTGGGAATGAGAAGGTAATTTCCAATGTAATAGGCTATGGGTCACTGCTGTTGACCCAGTGTGTGAAGAGACAAAGCTCTTTTGGCCACTTCATGCTAGGTGGTTTTCCCACAGCAAGCTCAAGAGGAGTTGCATTTTTTTCCCCAAGACAAAAAGATATTAAGTGCGAAGACAACACTGAACTGATATTCTTCTGATACCAAAATTCAACTTCTCACTCCTAATTCAGTGTAACTTCTGTCTTAAAATTTTATTCATTGATGCCATTATGAGCTCATTAGTGAATTGATAGTCTATGTTAATTGCAGTTTGCTTTGTACCTGTATGACTTGCCAACTGTTGACACTCCCCGAACAGTGTCAGGGAAGAATTCTGATTGGCCAGGCCTGAGTACTGTGGCTGGGGATGGGACGCAGTGATCGCCTTCTAGAAAAAGGGTGGGACTGGCAGGAATGGAGCCTCTGGGAATGTGATTTGAGAATTACCCTGAGTTTTGCAGTTCACGTGTGGTGTTCTATAACTTTCCCTCTCCCAGTCCGTGTCCAGGATGTGTCTGTTACCCCAAATACCTGTCAACAGGCACAGGAGATTGATGTTCTTGTGAAAAATAGGAGAGAAGAACTATTAGTTGATGTTTGGCAATGCTGTATACAGAGTGTATTAGCAGCCTTTTGCCTAACTACAATGAGAAAACTAACTTAAAAGAGAAGGGTTTCCTTAGTCCATAGTTTTGGAGGTTCAAGTTCAAAATCAGGTGGCTCCAATGACTTAGATTTGACCAGAGTGGCCAAGGTGGAGCATGGCACATGGGTGGAGGAAGGATCCAGTCGGGAGACAGGAAACAGAGGCTTGGTCTCACCCCGGCCTGGTAACCAGCCACTCATCTCATGCGAATTACCTTCCCAGGGAATGCCCCTGATACCCAAGGACACTGCCAAGCCCACCTCATCTACACCATAACTGCACTATGTTTCTCCCTCTTAGTACCAATAACCGACTCTGGGGTTTTGGGCATTTTCATGAATTCAGGTGGCAAGTCTTGTTCCACTGACAGTGAAAAGCAGTCCGTCTTATGTTTTGCATTTTGTCTTGCTTTGCAGGAAGGAAATAGTTGTTGGTGACTGAGGGGGTCTTATGGTTTAGCTGCATCTTGGAATGTAAACTTGTTCCAACCAAATGCCAACTGAGACAGAATTAGTCATTGGTTTCGGTCTACCTGCATCTAAGGTAGCCTAGACAGTGTGTTTTCAGTACACTGCAGTGATATGTGGTGACACAGAAGAGCAAGGCAGCTAGCCCAGTGTCACTGTGAGGCTGTGGCCTTTGCTGTCACACCACTTCATTCACTGGTGGTTTAGTCTAGATGCTTACCTGGGGACTCTGAGTCACCCTCCTATGGCAACTGAACACGGGAGCCAGAAACCTTCCAGAGGAAAAAATCTTAAACACCAAACAGCTCTGGCCAGCGCTCTTGCAGCGGGCCCCGAATGCTGTAGCACCAGTCAACCCTGGTCTTTCACGCCTTCCTCAGTTCCCTGAGGCCTGCCTGAAGATGGCCCAGCTTCTCCTGGCCCTCCTGCCCCTGCAGTGCTTGGAAACAGGGGCCTGTGCTGCTGTGAGACCTGGCAGAGGCCAAGGTGAGCCGCCCTGAGCTGGACGTAGTTGCGGTGAGACGGAAGCTGCTGGGATGAGTG